TAGAACTTCAATGGAAGTCATGGGCCAACAAAGAAAAAGAAATTTTTTTCTGATCCAAACATTCAAAAAGTCTTTTTATCATCTCATCACAACAGAAATTAAAAAAAACTAGTGCCTCTATCCAACAGCGTAACTGAATGGTTACCTGTGTTCAGTGTATAATGCACTCTCAGAAGCAGATTAAATACCATAAATCACACATAAAAGTCAACAGTCCATTATGGAAGATAATTTATTTAACACCTCTAGGAAAATAAACTGGAATATTATTCCTTTTATGGAAGGACTTTTATTTATTTCTTTTTTGGAAGCAGACTTACTATGAAACTCATTTTTCGGAGAAAAGAATGGAGTTGTACTTTTGATTAGAAACAAAATTGGGACTCTTGCAATAAAGTGAAGAGATATCAAGATGATTATGAATTCTACCAAGAGAGGCTATACACATTACAATTACCTATATAATTTTGTTGGAAGAAAGTTCACTGAAATATATTAGAAAAATCTGATGCGTGCAATACACAACTTTCACTTACCGCTTAACTTTGAATAGAAATTATTTTCTGGCCATGTTGGACTACTATAAAATTATTGAATTGCATTTTTAACTGAGCTAAAGCTAAAAACATAATAATAATAATAATAATAATAAGGCTTAGCGAACCCGAAGGTTCGATGCCGACACCACCAATCACTTGTTACTCACCTCCCTCCACCGTTCGCCGTCCAAACCCAGTTCCTTCAGATCGGCTTTAATGCAACCTTCCCACCTTCGCTTCGGTCTACCCCTCGGACGCTTACCATTCGGCACAGCAAATATTAACCTTTTAGGAATTCTCTCGTTACTAAGCCCAACAACTTTACAAGCCCATTTGATTCGTCGCGATGAAATTACCTCAATTATATTACCCGGATACAGCTCAAGCACATCCTGACTAGATTTACTAGTTTTTTTGGAATCCCCTGCTCGATTAGAATATTATACAGTTTCTGGCGGTCAATAGAATTGTAAGCCTTTTTAAAATCTATATACAACTGGTGAACAATACCGTTATACTCCAATTTTTTCTCTAATATTTGCCGTAAAGAAAATATTTGATCAATAGTCGAACGATTCCGTCTAAATCCGCATTGGTATTCTCCGATAATTTCCTCGGCGTATTTCGTGATTCGACTGGTTAAGATTAAAGTGAATATTTTATAACATACCGGAAGGAGTGAAATTCCTCGATAGTTATTACAATCCGTCCTCGGACCCTTTTTGTGAATCGGAATAAGAATAGATTCTTTCCATTCTTCAGGTAATTTCTCGTTCACCCAGATCTTTTTAACCAACCGATGTATTTTAGAAACTCCAGCTTCCCCGCATGCCTTAATTAGTTCAGTAGAAATATTATCGGTTCCCGCTGCTTTATATGATTTTAATTTTCCGATAGCTACTTCAACTTCCTCTTTACTTGGTCCTTCTATTAACGGTTCAGCACTCTGGTACTCAGAAGGAGGACACAGATCATAATTTCCCGTATTTAAAATATTGTCAAAGTGGTCCTTAAACTTATTCAATATGTCAACCGGATCGGTCAGAATATTGTTATTATCATCCCTAATTCCAGACGTTACGGGCCCTACATATTTACGTGATCTGTTTATATCTTTGTACATGTCTCTTACTTTATTTTCGATTCTATTAGTTTCTATTTCAATTATTTTATTTTTAAGATACTCCCTTTTTTTATTTTTGAGCAATTTTGTCGTTTCGTTCTTTGAGATTCGGAAGTATTCCAGATTGTCTTCGCTAGGATTATTTAGAGCTTTTAATTTAGCGGCTTTTCTTTTTTCGCACATGTTTAAGCAATCTTCATCAAACCACGGTTTGTTATTCTTATTTTCCTTTTTTCCTAGACACGAGTTACCGACCGCTTAAATATTATCCCTGATCTCTACCCATAACTTGTCAATATCCTCGTGGTCCTCGTCAGGAAGCTCTAAAGCTTCAAACCTATTCTTAACATCTAGCTCGAATTGGGTTCTAATGGATGGATTTTTTAATTTTTCCAAATTAAAAATCTCAAAATCGAACCGGTTTTCTTTTCTCTTTTTTATATTAAGTTTTTGTCGAAGTTTCGCGATTACTAATTCATGATCCGACCCACATTCTGCTCCGCGATAAGACCGTACATTGATTATACTGCTTTGCCAGCTGTGTTGTATCAAGACATGATCGATTTGATTTCGTGTTTGCGAATCCGGTGATGTCCAAGTATATTTATGAATATCCTTATGTTTAAACGTCGTACTTTTAATTATCAGGTTTTTCGAGATGGCAAAGTTTACCAGACGGATTCCATTATCATTACTATATTCGTGCAAACTTTCTTTACCAATCGTCAGAATATAAACTTCTTCCCTTCCTACCTTTGCGTTCGCGTCACCTACAATTATTTTCATGTAGTTTCGCGGTAGTTTATCATAAACCCATTCGAGTTTACCGTAAAATTCACTTTTGACTTCATCGTCACTGTCTTCGGTCGGACAATGTATGTTTATTAATGCGATTTTAAACCAACGTCCCTGAAATATAGCTACCGAAATTCTATCACTAAAGAATTGTACGTTCCTCAAAGCGGATAGTAATCTACTCCTAATTAGAAACCCGGTACCTAAACAATGATTCCCGCTTCCTCCGTACCAAATAGTGTACTTTCCTTCCCTCATCGAGCCCTCCCCTGGCCAGCGAACCTCTTGCAGAGCCTCGACATCCAAATTGTACCCATTTACCTCATTCGCGACCGATTTTAGCCCCCCTGCTGTGTTTAAACTCCTTACGTTCCACCTACCAATATTTAAATCCCTATATTTCAACTTGCGCCATGAATCCCCTAAAGCAGTCCCCACCCGGAGACCCGAACGGGGGACTAGTTTACCTCCGGATAATGAGCGTTTTACCGTAGGGAGATCCATGACTTTTTGTGGTGTTTGGTGAACTAAAGATATGTGAGTAGGGCGTTCAATCCTACGTCACACCCTCCAGCAAGTCTGGTGGGCCCCTACCTCCAGCAAGTCTGGAGGTCCCCTCCCTCCAGCAAGTCTGGAGGGCCCCTCTCATTGTTGGTCAGCGAGTCCATCGGACTTAGCCGGGAGAAACTTCCAAGGAATTTCCACCGACCATCCCCACATCCGCCACCCGTGGGACGCTCCCCATACGCGGTAATGAGCCCGCGCGAGGAGCTAAAGCTAAAAACATACAGCTAATAAATCATAAATACCTTTAAAATAATAAAAGTCCTATTTATTATATCACCGGTTGATTATGGATTGCACGATCTGTTGATTATGGATTGTAAGACAATTAGTTATTAAACTGTTATTTTCCATTGCAAAGTTTACTAAAACGGAATTGAGAGATTTGCATTTTCTGTCATAGACAGGTCAAAAGTTGTCACACTAATTGTAAGTGAACACTATTGGAATATCACAAAAGGAAATTTCATCAAACTATTCAGTAATATAAATTTCTAAAAGGTTACATGATGATTTTATGGAATAAACAGACGATAGATACCTAAATATTTAAATATAATATCAGATCTAGAGTTATTAAACTACAGTATATATATTTAAGGTTATAAATGTATCTATGAAATATTTTAAACTTCACTTCTTTCACACAAGCACAATGAAATAGTAGTGGATACTTTTGGAATATAGCGCAGGAAAGATTCATCAAATTATTCACTAATTTAATTTTCTAAAAAGTTACATGACAATATTTTGGAATAAACGGACGTTGATACTTAATTATTTAAATATAATATCAGATCTAGAATTATTAAACTACAGTAAATGTATTCAACGTTATGAACATATGCTTTATAAATCCATGAAGTGATTTTATATTTTACTTCTTCTTTCACACAAGCACAATAAAATAGTTTTTTTAACAATGTCATTGCCTTGTTTAGGTGGATTTTAAATACTTTTTCAAACTAAAAAATATTTTAAAAGTTTACATATAGTTAGTAAATTTCATCTAATTTTCTTGAAAACATGTGATTTACATTAAATTTTATTAGTTTTCAAAAATTATTATTTATAATTTTTTTGCCACTCTCTGTTATCTTCTACAACTTCCTATAATAGATATTGTTTTCCCCAAAATTCTCCGCTTTCCAACGATATATTATACGTATACCTTCTGACTAGTATTTCAGGAGATTCATTTTCGACCTGGATAAGCATTTTTATTATTTTCTCCTTTATTAAATTATCAAATTCTTTCAAAAGTTATATTTAGCATTTTTTCTTAACTCTTAATAATGAGAAATAGTTAATTATTTAAAATAAACCGCATTAAAGGTACTTTAGAGGAAGACGCATGTGAACGTTTTGTATTTAAGCCCTGTAAAGTGACATCAACGGGGATAAGACCTAATGATATTAAAAAGCACTTAATTATACAATGATACACCGAGTTCAATCAAAATCATTACAGTTTGAGAAAATTGTAAAAATGTGTTTCACCATTGATATAAAGTGGCACTTCCTGTAAGCCGATTTTAAGGAAAAAGTTGCTGTCACATCTAAGGCATATACCTATCTTAAAGGTATATGCCTTACTGCTAACATACACATATACAAGACTTGATTATCTGGACTCAGGGTATTCCAAAACGTGTATTTTTATGTGTAGTTTCACGACCGCAAAATATTTTCGTGACCTTACTATATATTACATATATACGTAAGTGAAAGTAAAAATCAAGACATTTACAAAACTGAATCAAAACGTGAGCCTTTTTAGAACCAGAGGAAATAGACAAGAAATACTGTAAAATTAATCTATAAGATTGTAACAGAGACAATATTACAGTAAAAGACAACAGAAATGAGAACAATAGAAGAATCAAAACTCTTTAATAAATAAATAATTTTTGTTTGTTAGCTGAGTTAAAATAATGTTTTAAATAAAATTTAGTAGCCACTTTTTTATTATTACTTACAGTTTTAACCGCAGACTTAACAGCAGGATTAGCCTGTAAGCGCAAAATAATAACAGATAAAATGAAAATAAAAAACAAATAACAACAACTAAACAAAATAATAACTAATTAAAATAAAATACAACAAAGTAACTAAGAGCCAGTTGCTAGGTCATGAACTAGACTAACTTCTCTGATAAGCCTACTCCAGCATTGTTGTCACTTTTAGATAAAACATGAATTTGGGAAAAAGTTAAGCTCTTAAACAAAATGAACCTATGAATCCTGAATTAATTAAATTTCAGGCCTTGGAAATGTACAAGATGACATCCAAAATTTAAAATTTTCACTCAGAAACTGGCCCAAAGAAAATTATTTATAGAAAAAATAATCAAACATTAACATACTCTAGTTTTAACACTTTTTAAGAATGCTGAGCCTTCCTTTTTCATTGCATAAGTCCATTCTTTATACTGTGCTTTAAGCTTGGAACTATTTTTATCACCATAAATACATGCCTCCAGTTCAAATTCATCTGAGAACCCAAGACCTGCATTCAGCATTGCAAGTCGTTCTTCAATGAACTATAAATCAAAGTTATCATAAAATTAAAAAAATTACAAACAGTTTACTACCAAATAAGAACAATCAGTTTAAAATGAACGCAAATATCTCATGTTTAAAATTACAAAGAAAAAACACTTTAACTTACTTGTTGAAATATTTGCAACTCAAGCATTCCACGTAAAAAGGGTTGAAGGTGAGCTGGCCTGGATTCAACAAATGCTTCCCTGTCGAATGTAATTTTTTGTCCTTGCAATAGTTGCAATGCATCCCGATAACCTCCGATAAGTCGAACAAGGCATCTCAGAAATGCTCGAGAGACGCCATCCCCAAGTAACCCAGAACAGTTTTTAAGATCCCCTCTGACCTGTTTAACCTACAATAAAAAGAACATATAAAATAATAATGCCTTATGATTAAAATAGAGAGTGGGATAGGCTAAGTGGTAGGGCGCTGAGCTTTCAATGTTCAAGGTCCCAGGTTCAAATCCCAGCTTATGGCAGATAAATTATTTATTCTGTTTCATCGGCTGTGGATCGGCCCTTGGGTCGGGAGATCCTTCTGGGGCACATCCAGTCTCTACAAAGTGAGAAACCTTAATTAAAATAATTAACTAAGGGAGAAAACCTGGCGGTTGAGCATGATCTCGGTCAAATCACCTCCCTGCACAATCGTTGACCAAGAAACAGTACTTTCCCTAAATAGTACTGAACCCAAAACCCTTCATAGGTTGAAGTGGTATAAGTTTCTTTTTTATGATTAAAATAATGACAAAATCATAAAAATTAAATTTTTAAGTTTTGATAACAAAGGAGGGAAATTTGAGCAGAGAAGATCACTCCACATTCCTATGATGTTATATTTCTATTTATTTTTTAATAATTGGTAATTGGTTGACTGTCGTGGATAATGAAGAGAAGAATAGTTGGGTGCTCAGTCAAAAAGGAAGGCAAAAATAAATTATAATATTTATTTTTTACATCTGCCGACGTTTCGACCTGAAGTTCAGGCCATCATCAGGGCTAAGAAAATAACCAGATAACAAGGTATGAGAAACTTAAGTAATGATGGTAAAAAAGATAATAACAAAAAAAAAAAAAAAAAAAAAGATGAGAAAATAAAATAGATTAGATCTAGATAAAATAGATCTAGATAAAATAAAAATAAAATAGATAGATATAAAGTAAAATAAAATTGTTAGAATAATGACTAAGAACTAAGAGATAAATGATACAGACTGTTACATAGTGTGGAATGATGAAGTAGGTATAATCAAAAAGGGGGTGACAAAAGTGTTACATTGGGAATCTTAGAATAAAATGTAAAAACATAAAAAAGAAATATAAAGTTATATAAGAAATGAGAATAAAATAAATAGTAAAATGAAAACATTGAGAATGCAGTAGTTTGATAGAAAATTGAGATGTTGTAAAGTCTATCAAGATGTACAGACAATGTATAATATAATAGAGAGTTAACAACAGAGAAAAGGAATGAAAGGAAGGAGGGAAGAAATTGAGAAAGCTGAAATAAGAAAGAAAAAAAATAAAAGAAGTAGTACCTTTCTCTTAAAATGTCAAAGTGAGAATGAAGTCGTTACAAAGAAGGTGGAGAGAGTAGGGATGTGGAGGTGGCGTCATCTGTAACGGTTATCGGACGAAGCTAGAACTAGAAGAATGCTAGAAGCCTAGATAGTTACGAGAGATATATTATGTAGAAAAATTATGGAATATTGAACGAAAGTTAATAGAAAGTGAAAGTGAATATATATATATATACATATGTGTATATATATATATATATATATATATATATATATATATATATATACATATATATATATACACATATATATGTATATATATACGGGAGTTGTCAGCAAAAAGGAAAGGAATATAACTATGGATGTTTTAATAAATTCAGAATTTGGCTATAGGTTAGAGAAAAGTTGTTTTTGTCAGTCTTAAGATTCACTGTCTTTGGTTGAAGCTGGATGTGGAGGGTTTCAGAAATGAGTCGTTTGTCATGGTTGAGAACAGTGGCAAGGATGGATGTTTTGTCGAAGTCAAATGAATGATTGAGGGAGAGAGAATGTTCGGATAATTTGGAAGCGGTGAAATTACGAGAGGATACAGAATATTTATGTTGGGTTATGCGGTCTTTTAGGAGATTTTTGGTTTCACCAATATAGGATGAAAAACAATTGGGGGTAGAACATGGAATACGGTAAACGATATGAGAGCGGTGTGAGAGAGGAAGAGGATCTTTTAGGGATGTGTATAATTTCGAGAGAGTGTTGTGAGATTTGAATGCAAGTCAAATCTCACAACACTCTCTCGAAATTATACACATCCCTAAAAGATCCTCTTCCTCTCTCACACCGCTCTCATATCGTTTACCGTATTCCATGTTCTACCCCCAATTGTTTTTCATCCTATATTGGTGAAACCAAAAATCTCCTAAAAGACCGCATAACCCAACATAAATATTCTGTATCCTCTCGTAATTTCACCGCTTCCAAATTATCCGAACATTCTCTCTCCCTCAATCATTCATTTGACTTCGACAAAACATCCATCCTTGCCACTGTTCTCAACCATGACAAACGACTCATTTCTGAAACCCTCCACATCCAGCTTCAACCAAAGACAGTGAATCTTAAGACTGACAAAAACAACTTTTCTCTAACCTATAGCCAAATTCTGAATTTATTAAAACATCCATAGTTATATTCCTTTCCTTTTTGCTGACAACTCCCGTATATATATACATATATATGTGTATATATATATATGTATATATATATATATATATATATATATATATATATATATATATATATACACATATGTATATATATATATATTCACTTTCACTTTCTATTAACTTTCGTTCAATATTCCATAATTTTTCTACATAATATATCTCTCGTAACTATCTAGGCTTCTAGCATTCTTCTAGTTCTAGCTTCGTCCGATAACCGTTACAGATGACGCCACCTCCACATCCCTACTCTCTCCACCTTCTTTGTAACGACTTCATTCTCACTTTGACATTTTAAGAGAAAGGTACTACTTCTTTTATTTTTTTTCTTTCTTATTTCAGCTTTCTCAATTTCTTCCCTCCTTCCTTTCATTCCTTTTCTCTGTTGTTAACTCTCTATTATATTATACATTGTCTGTACATCTTGATAGACTTTACAACATCTCAATTTTCTATCAAACTACTGCATTCTCAATGTTTTCATTTTACTATTTATTTTATTCTCATTTCTTATATAACTTTATATTTCTTTTTTATGTTTTTACATTTTATTCTAAGATTCCCAATGTAACACTTTTGTCACCCCCTTTTTGATTATACCTACTTCATCATTCCACACTATGTAACAGTCTGTATCATTTATCTCTTAGTTCTTAGTCATTATTCTAACAATTTTATTTTACTTTATATCTATCTATTTTATTTTTATTTTATCTAGATCTATTTTATCTAGATCTAATCTATTTTATTTTCTCATCTTTTTTTTTTTTTTTTTTTTTGTTATTATCTTTTTTACCATCATTACTTAAGTTTCTCATACCTTGTTATCTGGTTATTTTCTTAGCCCTGATGATGGCCTGAACTTCAGGTCGAAACGTCGGCAGATGTAAAAAATAAATATTATAATTTATTTTTGCCTTCCTTTTTGACTGAGCACCCAACTATTCTTCTCTTCATTCTTCATCTTCTATTTATTTTGTAAGTTGGAATTGAAGATACATGGAATTAAAATGATAATAAATATTACCATCAGATAATACTAATATGTGTGACTGACTGAATTATGGTCAAAACAACCAAAAAGTAGAAAGAAATAATTTTTTAGAATAAAAGAAATAATAAAAAAAATTCTCGAAATTGTTGGTCCTTTGCCATTCATTTCATTTATGCCACACATGGAAACTCTCACCTTTGCCCCTCCCTAGGTATAATTCTATAACCTCTCATTTGCATAAATTCTCACTTACCACATTCCATAACCATTATATTTTCAACAATTAAATTAATTTCCATTGTTGAATGGAATTAGATGAAATAATAGTCTCCAATTTTCATATTTTGAAAGTTTGATATTTCGAGCTAATTGTACAAGATATTTATAAAAAATAACTCATATTTTACCTTTTCTTTACAATAATGTTTGTCAACTTTTTCCATATGTATTATAGCTTCCTTCATATAATTTTTTTTTTTTTAATGTAAGCAATATGTTTATTTTATTTGCTCATCATCATTTTGTTAATATTATATTTTAACTTCAATACCTGATGCTGACTAATAACACTTCCCCCTTTCATATGCGACATAGTATTTATAAAGGAGGGGAATTGATCAGTATGAGGTATTGAAACTTTGATATACATCTTATAACAAGTTAATCAAGAAAAATTTAATTTATTTAAATATACTGACAACATCCTGAGGAAGAGCTGCAAGATCATCAAAAGGAGATTCAACAGTGTTATTATCTGCATCCAAAATAACAACATCCCCAACATCAGCTCTCCTAACTTTCTGAAAATAATAAAACAAAATTTTCAAAGATAAATAACATAAATCAAAAAGAAGTATTTTTAAAATTTCTGTTTTATAAATCCATTTAAAAATCATTTCACAGCAGTAATAAACTCAAGAAATAGTCATTTATTTAATAACCCCATTGAAAACTAAACAATATTTTTATTTTATACAATCCATGTCACTACAGGTAGATTTTTCAGATAACTACACCCAAAATTTAATGACACCACTGGGTATCACACCAATTCTCACTTCCTCAGAATTGAAAAAAAAAAAAAAAAATTGTATGCTTAGTTATATAAAAAAGACGGGTATATTTTCTTTAGATTTTTATGTACGTTTGTGTCTATTGCCCACAGAAGTTGTCTATTGGGAAACTCTTTAAGTAAAATGAATTTATTTACCAAGGTAAGGTCATCAGCTCTAAGATAGACAGAATATTATAAATTTAAAAACATGCAATGAAATTAAATCAATAAATAATTGAATCAATAAAACTTGTTTTAATTTACGCATGTGATATACGTTAATGTTATAAGTGATTATTAAAATGAAACATTAAAAATCTGGTCAAACTTTTAAATTAATCCTCATACTGTATAATAGTTTGAGAATAAACAGATGGTACAGTCATGTCGAAATCAGTTCTTTTTGATGATTTTTTTTTTATAGAAATACGCTATGAGCACTTAAGTTGTAGAATATTTATTTACACTATGGGAACTTAATTTTTAGAATATTTATTTACACTATGAGCACTTAAGTTGTAGAATATTTATTTACACTATGGGCACTTAATTTTTAGAATATTAATTTACACTATGAGCACTTAAGTTGTAGAATATTTATTAAGCCATTAAATCTCAGTTACTGACTTTAAAGTGTCGAAATCAGTTCTTTTTGATGATTTTTTTTTTATAGAAATACGCTATGAGCACTTAAGTTGTAGAATATTTATTTACACTATGAGCACTTAAGTTGTAGAATATTTATTTACACTATGGGCACTTAATTTTTAGAATATTAATTTACACTATGAGCACTTAAGTTGTAGAATATTTATTAAGCCATTAAATCTCAGTTACTGACTTTAAAGTGTACTATCAACCTGTGAAGAGATCACTCAGGTGTACGACTCACTGAATTACCTTTAACTATGAAATTCTCTTTGGTAGCACAGAAATGTAAAAAAATTAACCGGATAGTTATATTTGAGATTTCCAGATTATATTTTTAGTATTATTATGAAGAACATTATTTTCTATTATTTTATTTGTAATAAAAAGTGAAAACATTGTCAATTTGTCACATGGATTCTCTTTAGGTCTCTACAAATGGGTAATCATGTTTGAAAAAGAGATTCACAAAAATTGTTTGTGAAAAAAGTGATAAGTCCAGACTGTTCCTTTGTCTTTCAATAATTAAAAAAAAAATATTCAGCTGCAAATCCTCCATTGCTCTTGTCCTCTTCATTCAGTTATGAAGTTTCAGAGGCATACCTTTCTAGCTCAGAATTGTCATATTTGTGGTCTGTAGAATTCTGGTATTGATGCATCAAACGAACGTCTTCCGGAAGACAAAACAGCTATTGCTTAGCCATTTTAGCTAAGGTCGCTCATCCAACAACTACAAATACTCCAACACCTGCTACAAGACTGATGTACTGCTAAGATTCTTTGTCGGCTTGATCTCTTGCAAAGAAAGTGGAGATTATGAAAGGAAGAGGAAACATTTTTGGATCGGAGAGAAAAATTAAGTTATAAATTCCACTTTAAAAAAAATAAACTGCACTTTTGGATTGAAAAAAGGTTATCTTAGATCCACGCATCATTTTCAAAATCCTCTCAATCGGTACTTTTTTTCATACTCTGGCAAAATGGATCACAAGTCATACCCAATTTATTGTGAGTAATACTTCCCTGAGCAATTCACACAAAATGAAAATTGCTTCAAGTGGTCCTGTATTTAAGATCTAGAGCCTCAACAACTTTCTTTCATAAATGTTTGTTACTTTTTTATTTCAAAAAAAGTTATAAAACAGAATTTAATTATTTTTCTTTGGTATACCTGTCTCTGAACGTTTCGAAATTGTTAATTTAATGACTAAGATTAACTAATTATGTTTTGATTTACATGTTTTACCAGTGTACATTTTTACAAAGATAAGTAAACCGAATCATTCAAAACCCATAACTTTATAGCAGGAGAAATGAAAATAAATACTTCTCAAGGAATTTCTTGAATCTCATTAATAAGGCCCAAATAAAAAATTATACAAAACGGTGCATAGTAACTGAAACTAACATTATAGGAACAACTAATTACTCCTGAAACCACTATATGTAATTCAATTATGTATTCATTTACCATACTTAGAAAAAATGTGAACTTTAGTAGTTAACTTAATTTAAATATATATATCCTAATACCCGGGAGTGCTATATGAACTCTGAAAATTCCTACCACCTACTTCTTCATTATCTGTTCCTACCTCACTGATAGATACTTTACAGTAAATCACAAAAACGCTTATTCATCCCTCTTTTCCCAGTCCGCTGGTGTTCCTCAAGGTAATATCCTAGGTCCTATCCTTTATACAGTTTATACAGCTGACATTCCAACCTATCCTAACATTGTCATCACCACGTATGCCGATGATACATGTATCCTATCAGTAAATAATGATCCATCAGTTGCATCCCAAATGCTTCAATCACACATCATAAACCTTGAAGAATGGTGTCAAAATTGGAGAATTAAAATAAATCCCACCAAATTACCTTTACCCTTCGTCGTAAATCTTTGACTTTCTGTCCTACAGTTTCCTTTAACAATACTCCACATATTCCTGTTGAACAAATCCGCTACCTAGGACTCAATCTGGACAAACGTCTAACTTAGAATCCTTTTAGTGTTTCCGATTATTTCAGCACTTACTAGACAAACGCTCTAAACTTCCAATTTATTACAAAAGACTCATATACATGACTATAATAAGGCCTATTTGGACTTACGGAGTTGAGCTATGCAGCTTCACTAAACCATCGAATTCCTCTCGTATCCAATCCTTACAATCCAAAATCCTTCATAAAATCCTCAATGCTCCCTACTTTGTTACAAATAAAATCATCCATAATGACCTTAAATGTTTCTTACATTTCAGATCTGGCCCAATCCAGATACCTATCCTTCCATATTAAGCTTTAGAATCATCCCAACCCTCTCGGTTCTAACCTTGCTTCCTCTTCAATTCCTGATAACCAGCCGAGGCGTCTGAAAAGAAGGTGGCTCCATGATGAATGTAGACATATCACTAGAGTGCTACCATTGGGTGGGTAGTTTCTCAACAAATGTTTTCACATTAAAATATCCATATGTTCAAATTTACTAAATATATTTCTTTAATACAATTGTAAATATCATTAAGATATAAAAAAAAATGTGTCCTAATAAAATTGATTTATAAAAAGAATCTCCAATTATTAATGTAAAATTGCTTTTGTTAAAACTAACATGATGCATATTCATACATTAAATATATATTAAAATTAAATATGTGTGTAATTGTTAATAGATACATATAATATATATTATTAAAAAAAAGTCTCACTATGCAATCTCATTTTAAAAGGGGTCATGCACAGAGGAGTTTGTTTGTAATAGATAATAGAGAGAAAGATGTTAAGGAGGATTAGAACAGTAATTTTTTATTTTTTTTATTTAATAAACAATAAATCTATAAGTTTATAAGAGTATAATAAGAGTATAATTTATTTTTGTGTGTGCATACACTAACTAACATATACATAAGCACACAATCACAAACATGCCTTTTTGCAAGACTAGTTCATTTAAACTCAGGGCAGACCTTAAGAAATGCATTTTTGTTGAAAACTCGGATTCAAAATTTTTCATAAACGCAATACTTTCTCTTACTATATAATTCATATAAGGGCAAGTGAAAGTAAATAAATGATATTTATGTAAGATATAATAAAAAAAAAAAAAGAAGAATAAGTTATAAGTCGATTAACAAAAACATCACAAAATTGATTATAATCAAGTTGGACACAAATTAAAAAAGAATATAAGATTAAAAAATCCATAATAATAAATAAACAATACATATTACTTACATCAAGGAGAGAATTAGGAACTCCAATCAAGTAAGGCATAGGAGCCAACAGGTAATCAACAAGATGAGAAGGAAGAACAGGAATAAAAATATGTTGCCAATTCATAGGATAAATAATGGCATTTGCAGCTTGAACACATGCGCTCAGTCGATAAAGCTTCTTTGATGTGAATACAATTCGTCTTTCAAATAACATAGAGGCAAATACCCTAATCATATTATCACAGTCAACAGCACTATAATATTCGGTCAAATTCCTCTAAAAAAAATAACAATGGATCAAGAAGGAACAAAAGATGTGAACATTTATTTATCATTTCCAACTCTGGCCTGCCTTTTAGGCAATTCAGATATTTTCGGCAGTGGGCTGTTGTATATACCTGCATAGCAACCCACTGCTGTATTTAAAACAATAAAAAAAGTGAATATGTAACAGGTAACAAAAATATATGACAAACATAATAAAATTCATAAATTTTACAAATAATTCTCTATTGCCCCAATGATCAGTAATTGATAATTGCAAAGTTTTAGATCTTGGAGACAATTTGTTTGGTTAACTTCACCTAAAGCATGCTTACACTTACATAAATTGATAAATAACCACAGAGGAATCGTATAAATATCCCCTGAACTTTGATTAACTATTTAAACATTGATAAGGAGAAAATTATTCATTTTAAATTAATAAGCAATTAAATACGATTTCATTTTTTAACATAAGGATATAAGAAAAAATGTAGGAAAACTGATAATGGAACACTAAATTCAAACTTGAGCAAAATAAGATAATGCATGTTAAGATATCTATAGTTTAACAGACAATAAAGCAATTCCAAGCAAAGTCTCAAGTTACCCGATTAATTTTTTCGGTCATTGTATAAATTATCTTTATAAAAACTATATGAATGTTTAAGAGTTTAATTAGTCCAGTCAACGATAAAGTTATAGAGTGCATGAAGGATGGAAAAGCAATTGGCTTCGGGAATTCATTGGCAATACTTAGGAGGTAAACATAATTAAAGTCCCCGCCCTTAACCCTCCTGCTTCATGCTGGGGGGTATGCTTCAAAGGTCACTTTCTCCATATTTTCTCATATATTTTGAAAATGAGGCATCACAGATGAAACATTGTCGTATAGGAAATTAAAGCTGACAAAATTTCCTTTAAGAAAGTATGTATTCATTACTTACATATCTTTTATAGTTTTCGAGATATTCACTAACTTCGATAAATTTCATCAATCCATATGAGGAAATATAATTTCTTTATTTTTGAGCATGAATGTCCATCCTCCATTAATGTTACACATGAAGAGTGTTTAGTATATGTTAATAAAATACATAAATTATATATATCCCCATAATATATAAATATATTATAATTATATATCTTCCCATCTTTCCACTAACTGCATAATGCCATGTATATAGAATGTCTGGAGTTTATTGTTAAAAAACTGATCCAAGTGGATTTTGATATCCTCTTCCTTTTGGCATTTCTTTTTATTCATGGAGTTCTGCAGGGACTGGAATAAGTGGTAGTCATTTGGAGCTAGATCTGGTGAATTGGAAGGGTGGGGCAAAAGGATCCATCCAAGGCTCAGTATTTTATGACCAATATGAGTGACCAATGAGGTGTGGGACCAAGCATTGTCATGGTGGAACACAACACCCTTCCGATTTGACAGTTGTGAGGGTTTATTTTTAATTGATTGATCCAATTTTGTTAATTGTGAGCAGTATAGAGTTGAATCAATTGTTTGTCCTGATGGTAAAAGCTCATATCCCACCATATGGAAAGCATTATCTTCTTTGGATACAATCCGGGTTTCGACATCCTTCTAGGGAGTCTCACTACTAGGTCCCCAAGATTTTCTACGGATTACATTATCGTACAATATCCATTTTTCAGCTTCTGTTATCAACCTTTTCAAAAATGTGTCATTTTGTTGCCGTTTCAATAGTGAATCACAAACAGAAATGTGTATTGCCAAGTTGACTTCGGTTAGAGAATGAGGGATCCAAACATTAAGCCTAGAAACATAGCTGAGCTTATGCAAATGGTTATCTATACTTGTGTGCGACACATTTAGGGCCATAGCAATCTCTCGCACTGATTGGGCGGGATTTTGATCAACAATGGCCTTAAAATTGGTCGTTTCGATTTCATATGGGTGAACAGACCGTTGAGCATCATTGATGTCAAAATTTCCTGAATGAAATATGGCAAACCAATTTTTACAGATTCGTTCGGTTGAGGCAACATCCCCATAAACAATGCAAATTTTTCTATGAGCTTCTGCAGCACGCTTACCTTTTTTAAAATAATACAACAAAATATGTCGATAAAGAATGATATTTTCTTCCATATTCACAGTATATGGACAGACTTTTATTATGTTTACTTCCTAAGTGTCCAAGAAATTTCCAGAGTCAATAGCTTGTCCATCCTCCATGCAGTCTACATGACCTTTATTGCCATTCATTGACTGGACTGAATCACCAGACAATATCATTGGGGATGGTTCCCAATAGTAATGTTAATAATCCTAAGAGTTGAATTTTAATGTTTTACTTAGCAAGAATAGTTTACTTAATAATAATTTCTTAGTAAAATAATTCAAGATACATACATTCTCAGGTATCTTCGGTAACTGGAACTGAGCCGGAGCTTGACATACAAATACCTGTCAACAAACAACCATTAGGCGAAATGATATAACCAATTAATTTAATTCTTATTTAAATTTAAAAAAAAATATATATATATATATATATATATATATATATATATATATATATATATATATATATATATAAATATATATATATATGTAGCCCATATAAAGTTAATTAGTAAACAATCATTCTTATTTTAACAAAAAAATAAAAATAAAATAATAATGATAATAAATGCAGCACACAGTAAGTTAATACTTAACAACTATTCAATGAAAATAAAAAAAAAATAAAATGCACTCTTCCATTTAATTTAAACCAAGTTGGTTCAAATTAGCTAATGTCCTAATTGAAAACTTAACTTCATTAACTAGAAGTCACTTTAAAAGCAAATTACATTATTTACCAGTAGGCAATATTAAAATAAAAGAAGACTCGTATGGGAATTCTTACATTAGGTATCTATTCTTCTTCTCCCAAATTTATTTCAAATATTCGTAATATTAGTCAAATATTTTTATTCGTAAATAAGAAGATATTATTATTAAGAGGACCAATTTAACACAAGCAAGTGGTGAAGCTCCAAGCTTTATTAAGACTATATTTAAATAACAGTTAACCGAATGAATAAATAGCTTGATGTACCGGAAAATACCTCGACAGTTAATTATAAACATTCAGTAATCCGTAAAATAATACTAGCCTACTAGTGTACTCATTCAGACCTATCAAGACGAAAAAAGGATAGGGATCCTTTGTTTGTTCCTCAAGAGTGGATTATAAAAGAACTTCATCATTGTTATGGCAACCTTAACAACCAATAAAATTAATTTTTTTTTTTCTTTTCTGTCCTCTGCTCATAGGCTATACGGGGTTTTCTAGGCCGGGGGTATGAGATTAATGCCAGAGTTAAAAGTCCCCCCAGGCACCAGGAGGCAAACCTGTAATTATTTTTATTAGTTTGTCTTCTATTTGGTTGCCTGGCAACCATGGGACCATGACCATGGGGAATGACGGCGGAACACATCCTGGTATCCTGCACCGCAATGGAGGGACGCCGTGCTAAACTTTTGAAGGAAACGGGGCTGTATAGCCTAAGAGAACAGGATTTTCTCCCACCTGGTGGAGGAAGAAAACTACCCACTCTTTAGGGAGTTTGTGTAGGTGGGTACACAATCGGGTGGAGAGACACAATCGGCACTGCACATTTCTCCCTGGGAGCGGCAAGAAGACCACCAGAGGAGGACGAAGAAGAAGACTAAGAAAGGATCAGATGGATGCGGTGCGGACAAGGTGCGGCCCCATCATAAAAGTGCACAACCGTGTACCGGGCCGCACCACAGTTTACCCAATTGTTGTTATGTTAAATAAATTAAAATTCCCAAAAGAATTTTGTAAAAATTATAAATAAAATGTTGATTTGTTGATTGGCAGCAGTGGTTATACGAGAACCTAAACGTATTAACCCACTGCTGCCAAAACCCCGTATGCCAAGTAGGGCGGGAAAAAAAAAAAAGGCAATGAGGAGCCACCCCGCTCTTTGATTGAAACATATCTACAAAACTTGTTTATTTTCTTGAAAATATTGAAGAGTTTCTTTATATATTATCCGAGGTGCCTGCATTTTCCTTTTCAATAGATTTTTAGTTTATTGTAGGCCATAATAAAAAGCATTATTTATATAATAAATATCCCTTGGCACCTGAGAAGTTTGTTGTGAGAATTACAAATTTTCTTGAAAACTATATTTTATGAATTTAAAATCCAGACCCCAGTTCTGAAGGAACTTTACCATGTCTTGAGATCTGTATCAAAATCTTTAAATCTCGATTCATCGACTTAACAATGTCAGATTTTGAAATATTTTTGTTTTTTCCAATGTGTTTTATTAAAATTGTAGAATAAATTAAAAAAAAATTTTTTATGAAATTGTGACTTGCCATTTCTTCATGAAACTATATTTCTTTTGACTACTCATTTGTAAAATCCATTGTAGGACCAGGGACCTATACTACCATCTTACATATATACCAGGTGTGTAAATATGAACACGGAATTAGTCCATAGATGGCTCTAGTTGTTAATTTAGTTAACTTGAAGCCAAATTATGGGAACCATTTTGTTTCTTTGACAACTGGCAAAAATTATTAACTTACAACAATGTAATTTTCATATAACAGCATTGTTTGAGAAGTGTTGAACATGTTGAATTTCGTGCCTACAAGCTACGATTTCCAGTCCGCATTAGTTATCTGTTACCATTTAATGAAAACTGCTTTATAATCGCATCAAATTCATGTCAAAGCTAAAGATGAGCTTGCTATTGGAAACCACAGTGCTTTGAAAAATTCAAAAGTGGCGACTTTGACAGGAGAATTGAGAAACATGGAAGACCACCAAAAAGCTGGCTAAAAAATCATGAGCTGCTAAAACCGTTAATAGTGAATGTTATGGACAACAAATGATCAATTTTAATTGGGTATTGCATGACAAACCACCAGAATATCAAAAAATCTAGTGCATGAAACACAAAACTTACCGCTCTATTTGAATATAAATTATTTTCTGGCAATGTAGGGCAATTATAAAATATTTTAAATGCACTTTTAACCGAGCTAAAGCTTAAAGCTTACAGTTTACAAATCATTAATACCATTAAAATAACAAAAATCCTTTTTGTTATACCAATAATTGATTATGGATTGTATGACTATTAGTTATTAAACAATTATTTTCAATTGAAAAGTTTACTAAAATGGAATTACGAGATTTGCATTGCCTGTTGTCATTGATAGATCAAAAGTTGTCACACTAATTGTAAGTGAATATTGTTGGGACCTCAAAATAATCAAGCTGGACTGTCAAGAATCGTGCAACGTCTCTTGTTATAGGGGCTTCACGATTGAACATTGGGCATTTAAGCCCTGTAATGCGACATCAATAGAGATAAGACCTAAATGATATTAAAGATTACTTAATTATACATTGATACACCGATTTTAATCAAAAGCATCAGAGCTGTTTTCGAGGAAATCATAAAAATGTGTTAAATCGATTCTATAAAGTGGCACTTCCGGTTAGCCAATTTTGACGAAAAAGTTGCTGTCATGTCGGAACCATATAAAAATGTTAAATAAGCAATTTAAGTATCGTACAGCTTTATGTTTTTGAGCTAAGCTGTTCACACAAACACACACAAATACGATTTTGCGGGACTTGGTTATTTCGTCCCAGGAGACCTCAAAAATGTATTTCTGCTGAAAACTGGGATTAGAAAATTTTCAAGATCACAATACTTTCCATTACTATATATTCCATATATAAGTGAAAGTAAAAATCTGGTGCAGTGCACGCACCACACAACTTTCACTTACCACCCTTTTTTTAGTAGCAGAAATAAGTATTTTCAGGCAGAGGGATGTGAAAGTAAAAATTAAAGATGGTACGCAATTAATTATAATTATAAAACAATTAATTACCATATATTTTTCACAGCCATCTAATGTATTATATTTATACTTTTTATTACTAACAAATTCCTACTTTTTACTAACAACTATTTGATTATTTTTTCTTAGACTGACAAGATTCCCATTGATAAATAAGGCCGCTATATTTATTTAAATTTCATTATGGTTATTTTTATTAGTATAAGTAAGCATTGGCTTATAGAAATTTTAATTTTTATATTGTAGTATCTAAACATTTATAAAATTAAATATTAAATAATACCAACGCTAGCATTGGCACCGCATGAAAACCGCATATGTATATAATATTATCAGTGCCCATATTATATTGACCACATCTAATGTATGAAAACCTTTCGGCTGAGCTCAGATTTCTTCGGTCCCACCATAACTACTATTCTCCGTTATGATCCCTTATTTCTCCTTTAGTCAATTATATAAAACTCTGTCATATTTTAATTATTTTTTATAGCAGATTACAATGTGAAATGGTTAATTATTTCGATTTAAAAAAATTAAAGGTACTTTAAAGGAAGAAATTTTGAAAATTAGGCATTAAAGTCCTGTAAGATCATCAATGAGAATAAGGCCTACATTATATTAAAACTGCTTAATTTTACATTGATATAATGAATTTAATTAAAATCATTAGAGGCGTTCTTGAGAAAATTATAAAATCAATGGATATAAATTGCACTTCTGGTTAGCAGATTTTAAGGGAAAAGTTGCTGTAACATCCCAGGCAAGTGCCTACCTTAAATATGTATTTTCAGTTCCATGCGACTTAGTTTTTGAGATTGTTCGTTCATGTACACACACACAATTTTGTGGGACTTGGTTATTTGGATCCAAGAAACCTAAAAACGTGTATTTCCATATAAAACTAAAATTTGAAAAGAGTGATTTGAACAAAACTTCATGAATAAAGTGATTTTGCTTCATGATAATGAATCATCACACACAGCAAAACCAGTGAAGGAAACAATTGAGGTGTTTAGCATGCAACTTACTCCCTATCTAGACTTTGCTTTATCTGACTACTATTTATTAGCACCGATGGGGCACACACTTTCACAACAGCTCTTTATTTCTTATGAAAATGGCTTGATGATAGGTTAGGCACAAAAGAACACTTTTTTGGCATGGCATTCATAAATTGGCAGAGAGATGAGAAAAATTTACAGCTAGTGTTTGACAATATTTCTGCAACAAAAATGTATTTTCTATATGAAAATTCAAGTTTCTTATTTACGCACCTCGTATATATTATATAATAAATAAAATAGTATGATGATTTCAATTATTTACATATATACTTTTTAGTCGCCAATTTCAATTCAGGAATTAATAGATATAATTTATATTATTGCAGCTTTAAGGTTTTGTTAAATACCTACTACACATACACTTCTGCAATATACAGTTTTTTATTTATTTCTTGTGTTCTAGTAAATCAATTCAATTTGAAGTCACTAGTCAAGAAAGTCAACAAAATAATTACAAATCAAGAAATTCAATTAAATACTAGTAATTAAATTTAAGAAACAAATAATAAGTTAAAACAATTAGTTTAACTTCCTATAATAATTGTTACCAATGTTTTTACATTTATCGGGTCGGCATCGAAAAGTTTATTGATTAATCCATTCAAATATCTCTGAACTCATCAACAGAAATTAGTGCACCTCTTTATTTATTAACTGAATTACCAATGGCTCAATAATTCCATCAGCTATTGAGATCAATGGATCCACTCGGTATAATCTCATTGTAGCCTCAGTGTTGTGATTTCTTAATTCACTTTGCATACTTTTATTCAGTTGACTTTTTATCTATATTTATTATTGTTTTTTAAATAAAGTATTGAGTATACAGATATTTCCTATTCTTTTGTTTTGTTACCTTCCAGGACAGTCAACCTTCTGCTTAAATTCATATTGTCTCTACACTAAGTGTAAATTACTGAATTCAATTGATTGATGTATGCAATAAATGGAATTAGTGTTGAGTTTAGAAACTTGTCCTACAATACCATAAGATAATGTATTATCTTAACTCAAATAACTTATCCAAATTTGAACTTTTTCTCACAATTTTGATGTAAAAATCATCAGTCCACTCATAATTATAATCTGCTAAGATTTAATTAGTCTACGGTCTATCAGACTGCAGACATATAGTTTCTAAACAAATATGGCCGAGAGTCAGAAATCTCAGATCATATGTTGGTTAATAGTCCACATAACATGATCCTTATCACCTGCCGGTACAATAATCTAAAGAATCGTACAGCCGAATTTCTTGAAATGAAGAATTATAAATGTTTCCTCGAAGTTTAATGCTGGATACAGAAGGCTCAACAAGATTCATTGACATTTTAGTGTTCAATGAGATGAAAAAAACAACAACAAAATCCGTACTACTACAAACCATGAAGAGTCTTGGTCTACAGTTGTGCAAGATGACATGACTGACATCAAGCTCAACCACCAGATTTTAATCCTTAATTAATTCTTTTAATTAAGAGTACCCACTTTATAGAGGCTGGGTGTGCCCCAGGAGGGTCTACATACCCAGCGTCACCCCATGGCCAATGAAACAGATTAAATATTTTTTCTGCCATGAGCCAGGATTCGAACCTGAGACCTTTGGCATTGGAAGTTCAGTACTCTACCACTGAGCTACCCCACTCTCTGAGACGGAAAAGGAGGTTCAAAATCAGATTGGAAAATAACGATCAGGAACTTCAAGGAACAGGAAGAGAAAGAGGAAATTTATATAAAATGCTCAGTTTAAGAACTACGATTCCAATGCAGAGGAAGCATCCTTCGTACTACAAGTATTTCCTTGCAGAAGCTCGGTGTTGAAATGGAACAGATGCAGACAATGGTAGAAACTATTATTTTGGACTCATCTACTCATCTATTTGGACTCCATCACCACATATATTGATCTTGGCCTTGCTTATTTGACTCTGTAAACCGTTTTTGGCATATTTCATATGTATTCCAATAATCCAACCTAACTCTCTATTATTTATTTTTTTTTTAATATTATCTATTGATTGATGAGTATGCTGTGTTATTCAGCAACTCAACAGAGTTGGGCAGCCGTGCAAAATTATTGTATTTCTCTCTCTAGAATCAGTAAACTATATGGCTGCGGTCTCATGAAGCATCCTTGGTCTGTCATGAAAAACATGAATGTTAAAAGCAGAGAATCTGTATACAAACAGATTCTTTGCCGCATGAATAATAGAATAAAGCTTTGGTATACATTCATTAAAAGTAAACATCAAAATGTATAACATGTGGTGGTAATTCCTATGAGGATAAGATATGTAACTTCTTGGGGACTGTTGGGACTATGAACTTAAAGAAAGCTTGTCCTCAGAAACAAAATATTTTTCTAGTCCCTCTCAGACAAAATATACCATCCACAGGGAACACCAGTGCGTACACTGGTTCAGCAGTATACCATTGTCAAAGGGTTAATTAACATCACAAGCTTTCAAAACTCTTAAGTCTTTCTAATGCTTATAAATTTAATTAATGTATGTTTGATTATGCTAAATACTAACCGAATTTGAGTTATTACTTAATGGGACTTTCAGAGTACCATTTGGATCTGGAACTTTGGAAGTATAAACTTTGTTCAAGAATGCCCATAATAGTTCTGACTCTGAGCTATGAATTAAATCCGAAATACAGTTAAGTAATCTGAAAAAACAATTAATGTTATTTTATCAAGTTGAGAGGTTATCTCCAAAAATACATAATATAAAACCAAAGAAATTTAAATACAAATTCTAAGACTATAGACACAATTAAGGTGAAATATTAATATGTATCAAATAATAAAGTAGCAGAAATGAGAATTTGAAACTACTCACTTATAAAATGACTCATGCCAAGGCAAAAAACTTAACAACACTAGGGCAGTTGATGAGTCTGGATCATGTCTACAGAAACCAAATGTCCACTTTGAATCCACATTTGTAAGAACAAAAGAAAAATGTTGAATCACAGAACTAAAAATAAAAGCCTGTATTGTAAATTAACATATATCACAAGTAAAATTGAGAACTATTTGTGATGAAAATATAAAATAATATACATCAAACATACTTGTCAAATTCACAAGGATAGGCAAACTTGGGAACTGATTTCAATATTTCCTCATTCTTGTAAATTTCTGGAAATTTTTGAATGATCCAGGCATCAGTACCTAACTGTGGTTTAACTACTTCACAAAAGCATTCAAATAACTGTGTAACATTTTCCCTGAATATAAATAAATAAAATAATGAACTTTCACTTTATTAACACACCAAACTAGGTAATTATAAAATAAACACCCAGATCTTTCTTCTTGAATTACCTTATACGTGATCCCATTATACTTCAGTTCCTACATATTTCAACCTAGACATTATGAACCAAATTTGATTAAAAATTGGGGATGGTTAAAATCTGACAGGTTGTAGAAGAGGATGAGAATGAATAACTACCAGTGCCTTCCCAATAATAACACTTACGAATACTCATACCTACTAGACGGCAGTTCATTTGTATCACTGTGTCAAGTAATACGACGTTCACGATAGTGGAAGTGTTAGTTTTGTTTTTAATGGCAATGTTTAAGTTGTTTTTATCGAAATGTCTCCTGTTGAACAACCTTTTATGCTAGATGATGATGAAGATCGCAATATTCCATTGAAGGACAGATTTGAAATTCAGAAGTGTGTTGATTGGATTAAAACAAATAATTACTCAAAGGTATTGTTTTAAAGCTATGTGTTAGGGAAAACTTGAATTGAAATTCATTTTCCTTTAAGATTAACTAATCGACGTATTTTCAATGTAGGTTTGCTTACAATTTCCTGATACATTTTTGTCAGAATCAGTGGATGTTGCTTTGCATATAGAAGAACAGATATCTAATAAAACCTACATCCTTGGTGATACTACTTATGGAAGGTAATTATTAATTTAAGGTATATTTCAGACCTTTGAGGAAATTATTTGTGAATTGAACTATTATTTTCTGTGCAAGTATGTCATTAATCAAAGCTGATAATCAGAGTTTATTCAAGTTACCAACTGCTCCAGCCAAGAAAGTAAAATTTAAAAAACCAAAAGTATTAGAGGAAGAAACTTATCTTGATGAAATGGGAAAAATCATTGAACGAGATTTCTTTCCTGATTTGGAAAGACTTAAGGCACAAAATGAGTATCTTGATGCCCAAAGTGAAAATGATATTCTTAAAGTAAGACAACTAAGTTCTAAATATGCTATTAATTCTGAAATTTACTCCAGTCCTGCTACATTTGAAACACCCATCGATAAAACTCGTGGTGGCACAGGAGAAGATATCGAAAACAAAGAAACCAAAAATAAAGAACAGGTTACCGCAGAGCCACATAAAACTAAAATGTCCCTTGATCAATACCTAGGTTCTCATACTAGCGAAGACAATAAAAGTTTTGAAGATATCATCAAGGATTATCAAGAGCAACATAAACAAAAACACCCATGGCTATTTAAGGAAGAATCAGCTGCTGAAAATATTAAAGATAGACTCGCCCTTGAAAATGACTCCTCTGTAAAACCGTTAGAGTTGGATATGTGGAACTATAAAGATAAGAATTATATAATGTATGTTCCTGATGGTGTAGATTTAACTTCCGAAGAAAAAGTTGAAATAGCCAAACGAAAACAAGAAATTGTTCATTTAAATACTAGGCTTCGAGTCAATCCTTTTGATGAGAATGAAAATAAGGAAAGAATATTTGATTTAGCCCAAAGTCAGTCTAAGATACTTGATGGGAAAATAGGTGTTGATGGAAAAGTAGTAGTTGCTGGAACACCTAAAATAAATGGATTTAGTTTTGTCAAAACTCCTTCTCCTGCCCCTGGAGTAAATGAATCTCCACTCATGACTTGGGGTGAAATAGAGGGTACTCCATTTCGTCTTGATTCCACGCCTTTAGCACATGTACCCTCGTTTCATATGCCTGAACCACCAAAACGAGAGAGTTTAGCTTTAAAACTTGCTGACAAAGCTGGAGAAAGACATCGTGATCGAAAAAAAAAAGCAATTGAAGCTGCAAGAAGACAGCTGACTTCACCTGCTGGAAGACCTCATTCTGACAGACTACAGATGTTATCACCCGCAGCTAGAAGATTAGCTTCATCCCAAATACAGCGTACAGGTAGTGATAAAAGACTGAGTGCATATTATAGTCCAAGAGCTTCTCCGAAATCACATTTGACACCTACTCCAGCAGCTACTTTGGTAACTACTGATAATCTTCTCAATTTGAATGTCAAAAGAAGGCCAAGAGCTGTGGATTATTTTTCCTAGGACTGTATAAAGATTTAAAAAATTTTGTTTGTACAGAGTGTTTTATAAATGCAAATATATATTTTGATATTGTAAATTGTTTTATTATTTCTGCAAAAACCTTGTTCCCATGATAGGAATCTTACTATCAATTGAATTATTATTTATATTTATGTAATAGTACTTTTGTGAATCAAAATTTTGAACATTTCAACTTACTGGAAAAATTTAGAATGTTGAATTGAATTACTGAGTTTAAGAATTCTTATGTCTAAAACAAAATGAAAATGTGTGCTGTAGTTCATCTCCTATTGGTTTTTAGTGTAGGAAAGTAATTTAACTATTTGACCGTACTTGTATTGTTTTGCAAATTCATAATTTTATTTTGCATTTTTGAATTAAAATATTTTTTATTTTATTAAGTTATCCTAATCATATCGCTTGACAAAAATATAATACTTTTTTTTTATTTTGACATGTAGTGAAAAACATTTTTAAATTTTTTTAAATTTAGTTCAGTTATTGGCATGAATGGATTCAGAATGAAAAGCTATATTCTTTCAGGGAGATAGAATGCTAAAAAAAATTAATCCAACAAATCATTTCTAATTTTTTTTTTTTTGTATTCCGACTTGCTGAAAATATGTAACTTATCATTCTGAAGAGAGCTAGAGCATTCAAATTGTCCTGGATGAGCTTTCCAAATACAAGACGGACATTACTGCACTGCAGAAAATAAGATGGGTAGGCTCTGGAAACATAGTGAAGATCTCATACTATATATTATAGTTGCCACCGGAATCCAAAAGTTTTTGGAATACGTTTTGTGGTCAGCAGTAATATGAGGTAACATGTCAGATTTCAAGGCAGTTAACCATCGGTTATGCATGCTGAGAATTAGGGACAGATTTATAAATTAGTCTGGTTTCGGTTTATGCACCACCTGAGGTGGCAAATGAGCAGGCTAAGATGATTTCTATAATGACTTGGAAAGGGTGCTTGCAGAATGCCCATGCCATAATGTGAAGATAGTTCTGTTTAACCTTAATGCACAGGTCGAAAGAGAACCCACTATTTTGCCAATCGTTGAAAGACATGGATAATGGCTGGTGGATTTTGCCGCATCTCAAGATATGGTTATTGGCAGCACTATGTTTTACCGTAAGAACATCTATAAAGTCATGTGGGTTACCCCAGACAACAACATTTGTGCCCAAATTGACCACATTTTAGTTTGTTGGAGACAAAGGTCTAGTCTCATGTATTTGTAAAGAGATTTTGGCTACAGAAATTTTTGTATGCCTGTATTACAACTTTGAAAAAAATTTAATTTTTATGTTAAGGAATTATTTTATCCATGATTAAAAATTTTAATGCTAATACTGATGGTATCATCTGAGTCTGCATTGATGAATATGAAAGCCCCAGTTCGATAAATATTGATTTTATTTAAGAAAGTCCAAACAAAACTAGTTTTTAGCTTAATTATCTTTTGAAATTGCAGTGCACGCATCACACAACTTTTACTTACCACTCTACCTTAAATAGAAATAGGTATTTCACATAAAATACTTGAGTAACACCGAAGACAAAATTAAAATTAAGAACAACAAGAATGTGATGTATACAACAAACTATAGCAATTATGAAACAATGTACACTGAGAAAACATTTAAATTTTTTTTTAAATACAGACCAGAATAAGATAGCATATAAAAAAATGTAGCAGCAGTTGCCAAATATTACATAATGAGATATCACAAATTTGATTTTGATAACTCAGAAATTTTGGATATTGAGAATAATACTTCTTCTTCTTCCTCCTTGTTTCTTTCTACAAGGAAGTTCCTCTCTACTGTCCCAGCTTGGAGATGTGGTCCGTCCATGTTAGCCTAGGTCGCCTCTGGAGACTTCTTCCAGTTGGCCAAGCTTTGAAGTACTTTCTTGGATCCCAATCTTCCTCCATTCGGCAAAGGTGGCCAAACTATTTCACCCGCCTACTTTCAACCACTTTTACTTTTACTTAACCATATTTCTTTTACAGCTGAAACTCCCTGGTCCTCTCGTATTCACTGAATTCTAACCAGATCAATGCTGGTTCGGTTAGCCACTCTTCTCAGGTATCTCATTTCTGCAGCTGTTACTCAGCTCAAGTGCTTTTCCAGTGGGATCCAGCTTAGGCTTCCATAGAGAAGAGTAGGTAAATATATAGCCTTGAAAATGTGAAGCTTCACATTTTTGTCCACTTCCCTCTTTCCAGCAATTGTGTTGCATAGTTGGTAATAGACATTATTTGCCTTTTTGATCTGGCTGGAAACCCCCCTCCCCCCATCAATCTTTCCATTCCTGCTGATGACTGTACCTAGGTAGGTATATTTCTCAATCTTCTCTAAGGTTACTCCTTTGCATCGGATCTCCACATTTTCTTCATTTGGTCCTATACACATTCCTTGCTCTTACTTGCATTGAGCATCATTCCCTTTCTATCCAGTTCAGCTTCCCACTCTATGATTGCTTGCTGCAGGTTTTCTTTTGAATCTGTTAAGTAAGGATTCTTAGCCTAAGCAAGGATTGTCCTCATATTCCATTTCCCAATAACTGTCCCTGCTATCCTCCTCTTGCATATTTTTAGGATTTCATCCATGAATATGATGAACAGTAGAGGGCTGAGGCTGCCCATATTCCTCATCTAGGGACCGAATCAAATGCCGCCTTGTTATCAAGAAAAGCTAGAAACATGCTCTTCTCTCGTTCCCATGCCTTTTCAACAATAGTCCTGAGAGAAAATTTGTGGTCCTCCTTCGTCCTTTATATTCCTTATGGGCTTATTTGTCTTCCCTTTCAATGCCTTTATAGTTTTCCAAAAGGTTTTTATACTTTCTTTATAGTCATTTCCGAGACTCCGACCAAATTCTTCCCAGCTCTTCTTCTTTGCCACTCTAGCTACTTTTATGGTTTCATTCCTACTCCTGGCATAGAGTTTCCAGTCCGCTGCACTTTCTGTGCTCTCACTCAACCACTTTGGTTTAGTGGAGATCTCTGCTTTTCCACATATGGTTTCCACTGTCTGCAGGATAGCTTTTTTCATTTCTGCCCATATGCTATCCACATTTCTATCCATTGTGAAATTCTGGGGTTTCTGAGTCAGGAGTTCGCCGTACTCTATTTTCTTCTGTGGTCTATGCAACTTTGAAATATCTATTTCCTTGTATTTTTACTTAAAATTTTTCCTAGGTTGAAGGATTTGAATGTCTCCAATCAAGGGATAATGGTCTGACTATATTTCTGACCCTCTTATGGTTTTTACATCTCCAAAATATCTTCTGATGTTTGTGCTGTATATAAAATAATCTGTAATGCTATTTGCATTCCTTTCCTCAGCAGAAAACATGATCTTATTGACTAATTCATGTGGAAACATGGTGTTCCCGATAAGAAGATCATAATCTATGCCAAGTTCTATGAGCCTCTGACCATTTCTATTCCTGATATGCTCACTTCCATGTAGTACCATTACACCCTGTGCTTTAGCATGGTCTCTTCCAGTCCTTTCGTTTAGGTCACCCATTATAATAATGACTCTGTATTGGTTTTCACCTCATATGATTTCTCTTTCTAGAATTATTCCTATCTAGAACATCGGCATCCTCAGTTGGGGCGTACCCTTGCACAGCACTTAGTCTTCCTATTGATAGTTCCATGTTGGCCACTATTATTCTTGAAGAGATTGGCTCTCAGTCTTCTACTTTGGCAAAAAGCCTTTCAGTCATTATCATGCCAACACCCTCCTTAGACCTCAGTCCAGCCGCTACTCCTGAGTAAATAAGCACATATCCTTGGTCGAATCTTACTTCTCCTTGTCCTTTCCTCTTTGCTTCGCCGATTCCCAGTATGTCCACCCTATAGGCCTCCATCTCCTTCACTATTTCAATCTCCTTGCCAGTCAGAGTCTTTATATTCCACGTTCTGAACCTGATGTCCTTTCGAGCGCCATGCCGTAACAGTTGTGTCTGTCCTAATCCGAGGCAATTTTGTCTGCTTTGAAACAATAATTCTCTCCTGCGAGTGATTAGCCCAGCAGAAGAGGCCCCTTCCCCAGGGATAACGGGATTCTACCATTTATCAGGAAGGAGTTGGGATCCCTAGGTAGATAGCCTTCTCCACGTCTAAGAACTCTACCTACTCTTCGCAGTACATCAGCCTTTTGCCTGACTCCAGCTCTGTCTGATGCCAATACTGCTGCCTCACACCAGGGATTTTTAGATCTGTCGTGTTTAGTCGAATGCAGGGCCACCTCAAGCAGGATGCGGTTCTTCATCGCGCACAGACGGTCTTGGGTTTTATGTATCCTCAGAGTCTCCACCTACCTGGCTTCACGAACTACAACCTAAAAATTCTGTGAGGACCATTTTCCAGGTCTACTCTAGAAGAGGTACTACCCCACAAACCCCTGAAAATAATATACACAATTGTGTTTTATTTTGTATGACAAAACATTTGATATGAATTTTAAATAAAAAACGATTCACAATAATTATTAAAGCTAATAGTTTAAAGTTTTTAAAAAAATGTAATGTGGGTTGTTTTTATTGATAGTGATTAATTTTGTTAAATTGTTGTATTGTTTCGAAAGAATGGAAACCTGATGATGGAAGAGATCTCCAACACATTGGTTTGAGAGTGTATCACTGATAAAAAGACATTAAAATGGAAATTTTTTTTTTCCTATATATATATATATATATAGATATATGAAAAAGAATGTACCTATGTTATGTAGGCTATACATATATTAAGTAGTTTTATTAACATATTGTCAAATATGTACACACATAAAAAAAAGAAAATGTTATTACCTATATCACTACTGTTAGTGCAAAAGGTGCTTTTCCTAAATCAATGAAGTATTGCAGACTATTAAGTCACACTTAGTCCTGTTTGGTCTCAATCCATTTGTCATCCAAGCCTGTAAGTCAATTTTCTATAGCTTGCTTAACAAAATAATAAAATTTAAATCTTTCTTTAAATACTTGAAAGTGAGATACTTCTGTGGTTACCGTTAAGCTGCTTATTTTATTCTTAATATAATAGCTACTTCACAATATTTTGTAATTATTTTTCATGCCTAATACAGGACTCTTAGAAATATCTCCTCATCAATATTAACCATAAACTCTGAGGACTTTCCTTAACTTCATTTTATTAATTTTCCTTTCCTGTGCCACTACAACCCATGAAGGGTCTTGGGTTGACTACTATTTAGGAAAAGTACTGTTTCAAGGACTACGATTGTGCAGGGAGGGGATCAGGCCAGGATCACGCTCAACCGCCAGGTTTCCCCATCCCCTAATCAATTATTTAATTAAGAGTACCCACTTTATAGAGGCTGGGTGTGCCCCAGTAGGGTCTACATACCCAGGGTCGCGCCACGGCCAATGAAACAGAATAAATAATTTTTCTGCCATGAGCTGGGATTCGAACCTGGGACCTTGAGCACCGGAAGCTTAGTGCCCTACCACTGAGCTACCCCGCTCCCACTCATTTTCTTAATGATGTGGTGAATATCTTCTTTGGTTTTGGTATCAAAGAAATCCAGTCTTCTCTTAATTCTCTTAATGCATCCAAGAAAAAATGGCTTATTCAACATCCATGTTTCATTGATTTGATATGTTTTTTTTTTTCAATGTGCTTAAATTCTATATAAATATAAATTTCAATCACACCACAGGCGCATCTACATGGGGAGGGGAGCTTTTGGGCTGAAGCCTCCCAAATGGTAAAATATTTTGTAGAAAAAAATATTAAAAACTATCTCTTAAAGCAATATTGTTCGTGTAATTACATTTAATAGGACTTCAAGAATCACCTGAACACCATATTCTTTTTTTTTTTCCAAATTAATTATTATATATATGAAAAAAAAACCTTTCGTGCTGAAGGCCTCTCCTCCTCCCCTCCCCCCCTCAGATTAAATCCTGGATCCACTAGTGAATCACACTTTTGTTAACTTTGAACTGATATAATTTTATGTTGCTTCGGTATCCAGTTAAATCACTAATCAGTCTATTATGGTAAACAAAAGTTGTTTCTTTGTTTTAAATGTTAATTAAGAGTTATTTGATTTTTTTACGAAACAAAATATTAATATTAAAATTGAGTTCATCAAGATGTTGTTTGATTCTTGTGGCATTCCTCCTCCCATATTTCTTTAGTCAATTGCCATTCAGTAATCAGATTATATTTCGATAAGCTCTCAAGGAAAAAGTATTAAAACTTTTCAATTTTCATGTTTAAGTTAATGCCTTTCATGAATCTGTGAGTATTGCAATAATTCATTCCTTTATTTAAATTATAAGCAATGTTAGATTCACTTATTCTTTCTGACTTAATTTGTTTCAGTTGTTGTGTGGATGAAATTGCGGCCCAGCATATCGGCGGAGATGCTATCATCCATTTTGGTCATTCTTGCCTTACTTCATCACCACAGATACCTGTGCTAAATATTTTCCGAAAGAGGAAAATGGATTTCAGTGCTCTTAAATCACTCATTTCTGAAATTAATGGTTCTATAGTAGTCATATATGATATTGGTTACCATCATTTGTTAGGTAATGTTGCAACTAACTGGAGCAATTTATTATATTTGTTGATTTTTTGTTTTGGGTGAGCATTTGTTATTCAAATTGATGAATAGGATTTTTGCATGTTAAGTACAAAAGATTTATTTTAAAGTAAGAGAATTTCAACTTGTCTAATTGGACAGAATTAACATAATTTTTATTTTAAAGATTTTATCAATAAAAATTAGCTGTTATACTTTTCTTGCTGTCCAACCCTTAAATTTTTCCTGAAGTTAGAATTTTCTTATTCAGATTAATGATAATGTAATGATGCTCTCAAATACAACTTTTTAAAAAAACTTTATTATACCCTGATCCTCGTTTCTTGTATTTTATGCCCGTATTGCCTATCAGGCAGTGCAAAATAAAATGCATCTTTGACCATAAAAAAAAGCTTTTCTTTTGCAGAAGATAGGTAATATATTTTTTTATTTAACTTTGAACTGCTTTTCTAATATTTTAGGTGAAATAGAGAAATGTTTTTCAAAAAAAGATGCAATAATACCAGAAATTCTATTAGGAAATGAACATAATAAAGATTGTTCAGCTTATTGTAAAATGAAAGAAACTGGAGCACATTCCGAAGTAACATCTTCATTGTATTAGCTAATAACGATTTTATACTTTTTATACAAAATGTATTCATATTTATTTATTTTTAGGTCAGGTTTTCCCGTGGATACTGTTTACCAGAAGTCACTCCTAAAAATATCATATACATTGGTGACCAAACTGATGCTTGTTTTAAGAATTTTTCATATCTCTTCAAAGGTATTGAAAGTACATGACCCAAACTTTAGATTTATTATTCACAAAGAAACTATTCATTAGCTAAGAAACATAAGTTAATTCATGAATGAATCCTAGTTATAGTGCTGCTACTAACGGCCTTTTCCAGAAATGGCATGTTTAGTTCAATATTTAGCTCTAAATAGAACCAGTAGTTAAGAATAATAGATGAGACTTGAGGTTATTTTTACTTCATGTAAGGTGAAGATGAAATCCTTGGTTCTTTTAAAACATTAATGCCAAGCACCTTGGATTGTTTTTTTAAATTGAATTTTAGAGGTAAACTGCAATTATAAACTATCCAGAGACAACCTATTGACGGAAAATCATAGATTTTATGTGTATATGTGTTAAATTAGATACATAAGTAAATTAGAGTTTTAAATAATCATCTTCATCATAACTTGTGCGACAACCCATCACTGGGTCTGGGCTGCCTCTAAAAGCCTCCGCCAGTTGGCTCCATCCTGTGATGCCTTTGGCCAGTTCAGCATTTCTTGATTTATTATATTAGCATATCAACGTCTTGTAAAGATGAATTTTTGTTTTATTACCCAGAGACCTACTTTTTTTTGACAGACTGATGAAGCGTTGGTTAGCAGCAGTAATTCTTCTAATTTCCAGGCTCTCATTGTTCAAACTAAGTTCTGTGCCTAGATTAGTGAACAATTCCACATCATAAAACTTATAGGATCCTATTTCTAGAAATGTTTTAGGGCAATATGGTGCCCACCTATCCTATCTGTGACAGCGATCAATATGGCAGTTGTTAACTTGGTTCATGTGCAGTTGGTGTTGCTGTTCATTGATTATTAACAACATCAAACAATGAAAAATCTAGGAAAACAAATATAGTGGTACCCACCACTTGACTATTCCACATAAATGTGTGATCAAGTTGAAAAAGGTTGGGAACTCCTGCCTGAGGGTGATCTTTTTTGGATATATTCTCTTAACAAGGTAGGTTGGACTGACTAATGTTGGACAGGACATTGCTCCCGAAATGCGCACTTTGAACTTTAAACTAAAATAATAAATAATTCTACTTATCAGGTAATTTTCGACTGTTTTATATGTTACTAGTAGAAGAAGAAAAAATGTTACTAGCAGATCAGGGCATTTGTTTACCAATGACAGAGTCGATATTCTACAGTTCCAATAACAGTTCTACTAATTATCTATCATCTGAAGAAGTTAAAGCTGAGCAGTTCACCAGATTCTTCCCCAATAAATTTATTCTAAATTTCCATCCCACCCACACCAAACAGTAGAGGAATTCCTAACATCACCTATTCCACTCTCTCTGCCCCCTGAAGCAGTTCATTCTTCTAGTTATAAACAAATTTATTTACCAGAGCATTTAATAATTTTTAATAAGGAGTGTTCATTGGAAGGAGATATCTCTTAGTATAGGATAGGAGAGAGATATCCCTTAGCATAGGAGAGAGATTTAACTGTATTTTTGTTAGTATAACAAACACTGTGCTAATGAAGTCTAGGTCAATTGTATGTTCCCATTGTTCATTAGTACAGTGTTGTAAAGGCTTAAAATAATAATTTTTCTTCATAATAATAAGCTATAAACAAAATATGTACTTTTTTAACCTTTAAATATAAAAAAAATATATTTTAATAAATAAATAAGGTCATTCTTTAAAATATTAATTATAATTTTCTATCAGCTAAACTTGTCTTAGAACAAACATTTTAATACAATTTCACTATTCAATAATTAAAGGCTTTCTAATTGATTCTGCCTTAAAGACTCTAAATTTGTCTAACTAAACCAATCCAATCTGTTTAGAAACTGAGTCTTTTCCTCTACTTCACTAATGTTATTTACAGATTAATGTCTATGGTATACCATTTTATTGTAATGAGACTAAATTATATAATTTAAGGGAGCTAGTCGACTGTTCTACATATCATGAGTGATAAATATTCATGACACAGTCATTATAAAAAATTTTTATTTGTGCCAACGTTTCAACCCAAACATGTGGGTCATCATCAGGGCGTGATTCGAGCACTGAAGGCTTTCCAGGTACTAAAAAAAAAAAACCTCAGACTTAGTTTATATCCTAGTTCTTAGTTTTGTTGTTTGTTTATTAATGTATTTTATGGTTTCTTTACCTTCTATCCTACTAAAAACTATTTATATATAAAGTATAATTATAGGTGCTGAAATTTGGAATTGTAGTTTCAAAAATGGAATAGAAAAATACAGTATTTTGAATGCCTACAAACATATTTCCTATCTGGTCGAAGAAATAAAAGCTGCTGGGTCATTGACAGTTGTTGTAGTAACTCTCACAATGAAAGGATATCTTGAAGCAATAGATCATGTGAAAATGTTAGCCAAGAAATGTAACAAGAAAGTATATGTTATTTCAGTTGGGAAGCCAACTGTCGCTAAGCTTACAAATTTTCCAGAGGTTATTTATTATCAACTATTTTGCATTTTATCATATATTTGTTTATTATTACAATTAATTATATATCTCAAATGAATAGTAAATTAAATCAGCGTCTACGATAGTTACAGAATATTAATATCTGTTTTCTTGAGGCTGTCCAGAGTTTATGTCATCATGTTCAGCACTATCCTTCCATTCATTCACTCCATGTCACATTGTGTACTGACTATTTTCTCCTGTTATTACATACGATTTAATTTTAAAATTTGAAAAAGGTGATTACAGTGTTGAAAAATAGAACTGTAAATAAAGGTATACATTTTGCCTCAAGAAACTTCACTAAAATTAATAATAAAGAATGTTGAAATTGGAGTCAGTCATTCTGTCAACCGAAAGGCTCATATATGCCGAGGGAGATTTGAAAGTATATCTGAATATTTAACCTATAAATGATTATGGATTGTAGGAATATTAATTATTAAACTGTTATTTTCTATTGTAAAGTTTACTAAAATGAAATTACGAGATTTTCATTGCCTGCCATGGTTATGTCAAAAGTTGTCCCACTGGTTGTAAGTGGATAATGTTGGTATTTCAGAAAAGGAAAATTCATCAAATTATTCACTAATTTAATTTTCTAAAAGATTACTTAAAGATTTTTTGCAAAAACGGCCAATTGATAGATACCTAATTATTTAAATATAATATCATATCTAGAGTTTTTAAACTACAGTAAATGTATGTAAGGTTATAAACATATCCATAAAATATTTTTATATTTCACTTCCTTTTTCACACAAGTACAATGAAATAGTATTTTAAACAATGGCATTGGTTTGATTCAATGGATTTTAAGTACTTTTCTTTTCTACTTAAAAAAAAAAAATTAAGTTTACATTTAGTAAGCAAATTTCATTTAGCTTCCTTGGAAACATGTGATTTACATTAAATAATGTTAGTTTTCTGAAATTATTATTTATATTTTTTTCGTCACTCTCTATTACTTTCTACAACTTTATTTATTTGATATTATTTTTTCTAAAATTCTCCACTTTCCAGCGATATTATACGTATACCTTCTGACTATTATTTCCAGGGATTCATTTTCAACCTGGATAAGCATTTTTCTTTTTTTCTTCAGTTTCCATTTGTCATATTATTTCAAACTTCATATTCAGGCATTTTTTATAGTTACTGTCAATAAAAGGGAGTTAATTTTTTAATATAAACCATATTAAAGGTACTTTAGAGGAAAACGTATATGAACATTGCTCATTTAAATTGTTAGAGCTGTTTTTGAGAAAATTGTAAAAATATGTTTCACTGTTGGTATAAAGTGGCACTTCTGGTTAGCCGATTTTAAAGAAAAAGTTGATGTCACATCTGAACCATATAAAAACCTTAAATACGCAATTTCAGTTTCGTACAACTTTTTGTTTTTGAGCTAAGCTGTTCACATACTCACACAAACACAGACCATTTTGTGAGACTTGGTTATTTGGACTCAGGGGACCTCAAAACACATATTTCTGTTAAAAACTGAGATTCAAAAATTTTCACGATTGCAATACTTTCCTTTACTATATATTTCATATATAAGTAAGTGAAAGTAAAAACAATGATAGTCAATGCAAATTAATCTTAACTGTTAAATAGCATTTCTATGCTAAGGTAGTTTTTGTTATTTATTTGTGATAGAGCATCTTTGTTCTTAAGAATCTGTTGCATTGATGATTATTTTCAATAATCAACTTTCATAATCACAAATATAAAAGATTAATGGGATTTATATTTGCAAATATATTACTAATAATTTTTGTATGAACTTTCACCAACATAAGTGTTTAGAAAAATTCATGTGAAGGAACCCTCCAGATGTTTTTTTATATAACTATTTGAAAATAATAAATCATTATATTATAAATAGCAGCATTTTTGGTTTCATAAAATTTCCAAAATAATCATGTAGACTAGTGATTTCATAATTAAATTAGTAGATAAATTAATTTATTCTACAATTTAATCTATTGGCACCTTAAACTTAGTCTCCTTTTTCTCAATTTGTGATTCAATCATTTCGAGTAGAACTTTAGAATCAGCTTCAATTCAAAATTTTGATGATTTCCTGTATCCAGTAGACCATGCCCATTCCAATTCTGACCTTAAATAATTTATTAATCAACCAATGGTTTGGCTTTATCTTGACACTTTTATTATTTTGTAAAGATTAAAAAGGACTACAAAAATCCCCTAGGGTACTTTCTCCCTCAACATGGCCAAAATGAGGATACAAACTAAATGAGGACACAGTTCAAAAGCAACTGTTTATTAGGCTTAAGAAAAACAGTGCAAATTAATCTTAACTGTTATATAGCATTTCTAGGTAAACTGATCTTTTCACCATAATCAACAAACTGAACTAATCTAGATCATTTGCTGACTAATAATTTTACAGGTGTAAATCAAATTATTTAAAAAAATAACTTTAATCCTAACTCTATATTATTGAGTTTAATTAACCAAAAATATCAAAAATCAAAACTTCTATGTAATGTCCTTTTATCAGATTTTTTGTACCTTGGAAAAAATATAAACAACTAATTATATTAATTAGTTATCTACAAATCCTAATTAAACTTTGTGAAAATGAAATATTTATTCATATTTACTTTAATCATAAATGGTATTTGATATTTTTATATCGAATTGGGAAAGTATGGGGTGCAACTCGAAAATTATTTTTTTGGTTTGAACCAACATTAGAAACTGGTCAAGTTCTGCATAGAAGCTCCTTAAGTGTTTTCTCTGACATGTTACTGGTAGATCATCCTATTGTGTTGATTGGTATAGCCTGTTATTTGATAGCTGGCTGTTCTTTGGAATGGTAGTGATTAACTTCAAAAATTCCTGACATAACAAAATTTCGAGTTGAACTCCTTCTATCCTTGTCACACTCACATTGATTATAATTTTTTTTTTAGATTTTATATATGATGAAAATTTTCAGATGGAATTGTTTGTTGTTATCGGGTGTACAGAATTAGAATTACCAAGTAGAAGAGAATTAATACAACCAGTTGTTGGTCTTCTAGAGGTTGAGTTGGCATTGAATAGTAACAGAACTTGGAATGATACTTTGACCAGGGATTTCAGAGATCTGATTCCAGGTAAATTAATTTTATTATTTTGAATTGTTTATCTTACATTTTTTAATCTCTTACGTTGCAATTATGAGATTACTTTCCTATAGTTTTTTAAACTCTCATAATTAAGCAACGAGAATTAGCTTATAAAGTGAGGGTTTGTATGTAATTTATTGCTTTGGTTAACCCTTTGATGGTTTGAATAGGGTAGGCCCTTGGGACAGGGATCTTGAGAAGATAAAATACTTTTTAGATTATCAACCCTCCTCTGTCTCGAATAACTTTTGTTCATTTATGTTATTTTAATTTTATGAACAGAATGACATTTATTTTATGTATTGTAAAGTTATCAAGTGTAATTGTATTTATGTTCACTACTAGGTCTCCGATAAAAATTGTAATTTATAATAATAATTTTATTATAGGTTGTTAATAGATGATTTGTTGTTCTTATTTATCAAAACTGCCAGAAAAAAAACCTAGATTTAGTGTCTGAACAAAAAATATTATTTTTATAATCAATTAATAGCTTTAATTTTGATTTTTTATAATTCCGCAAGAAGATTTGAATAAAGTTTCATTAGGTATTCATAACATAAAGTCTAATGAATAAATTATTGATTCAGGTAGTTTTGATTTTTTAAACATAGTGTTGTTATTGAAGCCAATAATACAATATAATCATTGAAATATTGAAAAAACATGAATTCACTAGAGAAAACCATCCATCGTTAACAATTTAACAAAAATTGAGGTTGGTAAGTGATAACAGGGTTACTTCTATAGAGAAAAATATCAAGCAAATTACCATGAATATTTAATATGAATAGATCAACATGGCAGAGAAATAGGCAATTTAGAAGTTGAATTTGAAAATAAAGATGTTAAAATTGAAAATAACATTGAAAAATCACTAACCGAGATCAAAGCTGAAACTGACACTCAAAATAATTTTGAGATAAAAGTGAATATTGACACGAGTGTCAATGCAGTTCCAAACAAAGCCGATTATGAAAATGATTCTACAAATTAAAATAAAATACTGTATAATCTAACAATGATATTGAAAATAACAGATTAATTGAAAACAAAATTAAATATAATAGAACCCTCTGCTCAAAACTTATAACAATTTGAACGAAAACTCAAGTAGTAATGTTGGGTTTTAAAACAAAGGACTGTTGACGGGTTTTCGAACATGAACTAAGCAGAAGTCGAAACGAAGGACACAGTAAAGGATGAATTATTTTACCATAAAGTAAAACATATCCAAATCATTGTACAAACTAGTGTTTTCAAGAACATTAATAATTATGAAAAAGGACTCAAACACGAAGTTGATGTTAAATACGAAATCATTTAAATCCTTATTTGGTATTATTGAAATATTTATAAATCTGTTCAATGCTGATTAAATAGTTTTCTAAAGATTTAGTGTTCGTAGATATTACATTATTTACACCATCAACATTCTAACCTATTTGCTATAGGAGGACAAAATTACATTCCATTAAGTGAAATTGAAAACACATCAAGTGTTTCGTTGATTACTGGTAAAATGAATAAATTAAGTGATGTCAGTGGAGGGGTTTCCACTGAATTGGCAGTTAATCAGGAAAAAGCATTAGCTTCATCATCACAGAAAATTGGGTGAGAATTTAATTATAGTTTTGAAAATATTATTTTTTTTTTTAATTAGATCTCGGTCCAAGTATAAACAAAATCTTTCTCTCAAATATCATTTAAAGAGTGTTTAGAAGAGTATTCATAAATGAAAAGTGTTAGAACAAGAGAGATAAAATGATTTGATTGATGGATAACTACTACAGATTTAATTTTATGCACTGAATTTTAGATTTATTTTGTTATGTGAAATGCTAGAATAGAATATTAATCATTTATGATTTCTTTGAACCAGAGCATTTTTATTGTGACTAATTAAGCTGTAATTTTTTTTTCCTAAAAATAAAGTCAATTTCCTATGCTTTATGGGTTTGTCTTTAACTTTATAGGAAAACTAGGCATTCATCAGGATGTATTACTAAATATTTTTAAAACATCTAAATAAGACTTGCTAGTATTTAAATATGGAAAGCACAATGTTACTAGAGATCATTTAGGATTAATTACAAAAATAAAGCTTCCTCAGAATACAAAAGTAATGTTTTCTAAAGACGTAGCTTGGCCATCTAAGTAAGGCATGAGTAATTACTACAAAATTCAAATAGAATGTTTACAACACGGTAGAGAAAAGTTCTTTAGAGGATATAAGTTTTGAGTAAAGTCAGTCATCATTGGTCATGTTGCATTCAGCTCAAAATATCCAAAACCTTATTTAACTAAATTATATAGCTTCTAATTCTTACGTCACATTCATACATCATGCTTTATGTGATCGTAAATCCACTGCAAGAATTTCCTTTGAAATACCAACAGATCGTTTCATCAGCCTTTGTTAGGTATAGGTCAATAAAGGTCTTATACAATCTTAAATTTTTTTCACATTTATTTTTAAATCAGCACTAATTACATTTATTAAGTCAGCAGATGAGCTGGATAACTAATGAGTTGTATCTTGAATTAAACAGCAGCCATGTCAACACACCACCCTATCCCATACTCTAATCAATCTGAAACTCATTTAAACACTTTCGTTATATTCATTTAAGCCACATACTGATGATATTTCTTGATTATCTTGATAATTGGATCTGCTTTCTTGGTATGCCAAAATCTTCCAGCACTTTGTAGATCTTAGAATGGTGAACTATATCCACCATATAAAGATGGTATGTATTCCTGTCGTATTTAATGATTATCTCAGTTAAAGTCATCAGGACAAAGATTTGGTCTTATGTAGATGTTTCTCTTCTAAAGCAGTTTGTTATTTTCCTATTTATACGGCAAGAGGGGTTTGAAAAGGATTTTATATCTTGTCTATTGAAAAGATATTTCTCGGCGATTTTTTAAGTCAAATCAATTACTGTTCTTATTACTTTATATTGTGTTTGCTATGTTAATGTATTTTATATCCTTTTTACAATCACTATAATACAATTATGGGGATTTATAATGTGATATATTCTAATAGTTACTTTTCGTTATTGTAATTAAAAGCATTGTTAAAAACTCAGTCATGCACAACTAAAGATAATAATATAAAATAAAAAAACATTAGCCAGGAAGACTCAGTAAAAGTTTCTCATCATTTCTATTAAGTAAATAAGGCAAAAGAGGTTTACTATGTTAATTGTTTATTTCAACTTGTTTCAGAAAATTTATTTCCATCTTTCAATATCTTTAGCTTCACTGTAGTTGAACTATTAGGGGCACATTTGTATTCTTGATTTGTCTGCATGTAATAGAAAAAATAATTTGAATAATAATATGGACCCTCTTTGTTAAGGTTATAATTTTATTTGGAACCTGTAGAGAATAATTCAATATAAAATCTCTAACAGATTACATTTAAAACTTTTTAACCTCCCATTTCATTTGTTCATATACCACAAGCATTATATTCTTCACAATAACATTCATTTAAATTTCTAGATGGAATTTAATAAAATTGATACTTGTCCATTTTTTACGCTCCATCCTAATTACTTGGAACTTTGAGCCAAATTGATTAAGCTTGAGATAATTGATTAAGCAGTTTTAAAAATATGAAATATCAAAGAAAATACATTTGTGTAATTCAAGAAAAGTAATGAATTTAATTTGTTAAAATTAATATTTACATGACCTCTTTCCACTAATCCCTAACTTTCCTCCAACTTTGGGCCAAATCGAGGGAGCCATTTCTGAAATATTGGCTTATCAAGGAAAATATGTTTGTAATTACTCAGACAAAAATACTGAATGGAATTCAACAAAGTTGGAACAGCACCATTTTTTCACCAATCCACAAGTTTTATCTAACTTCAAAGAGTCAAACTAGAATAACAGTTTTTGAAATGTATGAGTCCAATAAAAAAATGGACCCCCATACATTAAAATCCCATAATATCCTGTAACATAGATTTATCTATTGAAAGATCCAGAACTAAATTTGTTTTTTGATATCTAAAATACAAGGGAAAAAAGTTGTTAACCTCCTGCATTAATACAAAGCTTTCCTAACTTATGTAGCGAGGAAGCAATAAATATAGAGAGGGTACACTAATAATTCCCATTTTATTATTCATTATTTTTCCTGTCCCTTTGAAGTAGAGAATGACTCTCTAAGACACTGTAAGAATCTAAAGTATTTATTTTTAGAAAAATAAAATCCAAATATATTTAAATTTATTTATTGTCAGCTTATAAGTGAAGCGCACAATAAATTGATGATTGAATTTTTGAGATATTTGAAGTATTGACAATAATAATTGTAGTTAATGAGTTTCCCATTGTAAAAATAACTTATTTTTAACAATATGACTTGGTGCATTTCACCAGTTTAAAGATTACAACACTTAATACAAAAAAAAAATTACTAAAAACTACAAAAATGTGACTGAATGTTTCACTTTTACTCCAACAATATTTATGCCCCGTTCTGCTAGTCTATCAATAATCCATTTTTAGACACAACTTATATTCAATAAATAATAATGATTGAATCACTGAACATTAAAAGGACCATTCTCCAATCATTGAGGTATTTGAGTTATCTTCATTATTGTATGATATTTTAACGTATCATTTTGTAGAATGTATTACAGGATGTTTGTTATATTAGCCGTATGGAAACAAAAGGCTTTAATTGTTTTTTTAAATTTTCTATCTCTTTTCTTATGGAGACTTCCTTTATTGATTTAATTATATGAAGTCGATATATCTTACAATTTTAGGATTCATGTTATGAATGAATTATAATATTCAGTATACATTTTTACTTATAGAGGCAAACAGGAAAAAACATGGTTTGGTTTAAAACAGGAAATAGGAGAAACTCCAGTGTCCTTAGCAGTTAAAGGAAGACATGGAACATCTACTGGTTACAAAGAGGAACCCAATCTGTAATTAAAATTGACTAGTGAAGGAATTTATTATTAATGGAATAATTAGTTATTTTATTTACCTTATTTTTTCTGGTTGAATATAGATTATATAAATAAGTTTTTAAATGTGTTTTTAAAATTATAAATGAAAAAATCTTTTAAATTATTTTTAAAAAAATAAAATTACTGTTATACATATAATTTCATTTTAAATTGGCAGTAATCTGAACCTTGTCATCATTTATACTAAATATTTATTTTATGTCATTTTACTGTTAGTAATCTTCTGTATACACTGTCTTAAAAATAATTGTTTTGTATCACAATAAAATTGTCATATGTATTATATCACAATATAACTAGCTGTCTTTGATCATGGACCATTAAATTCAATAATGCTTCCTTAAACAACAGGGCAATTGTTATGAATCCAGTACTAATAATTAATTCAACTAAAGATCGAAACTAATTAAAATTTTGAGGCTGCTTGTAGTTTCAAATTCCTATATTTCCACCATTTTTATTTTCACTCACCTATGTATGAAATATATAGTAAGGAAAAGTATTGGGATTATGAATCTGAGTGCTCAATGGAAATACACATTTTCAGGTTTCCTGAGTCCAAATAATCAAGTCTCGCAAAATGGTCTGAGTGTGTGTATGTATGTGAACAGTATAGCTCAAAAACAAAAAGTTGTACGAAACTGAAATAGCCTATTAAAGGTTTGTATATGCCTGGGATGTTAAAAATTTTTTGTCAAAATCCACTGGAAGTACCACATTATAATATTGATTATTCACATTTTTGCAATTTTCACAAAAATGGATTAAAAACGTTTTTTATTAAATTCATTATATCAGTGAAAGATTAATCTGTTTTAACATAATGTAGGCTTTATTTTTGTTTTCTAATAGGGCTTAAATGCCTAAATTTCAAAATTTCTTCCTCTTAAGTACCTTTATTTATTTATTTTTTAAAAATTAATTAACCATTTCACATTTTAAGCTGCCAAAGAAAATGGTTAAATATAAAAAAAATTAATTATTAACTAAAGGAAAGATAAGAAATCATATTTAAGAACCAAAGAAACCCGAGCACGTGCACAACTGAGCTTGGCCGAAAATTTATAATAGGCTTCCAGGTGTAACGCATACTTAATATAATACAGGCTCCAATAATATTATACGTATATACAGGTGCGGTTTGAATAAATGCTAGCTAGCATTAGTATTATCTAATATTTAATTGTGTTGATTACAGCGATATAAAAATTAAAATTTGTTTATACACCTATGCTTAAACAAAATAAAAATATGTACAATGAAACATAAATAAACTTAGTGGTCTTCTTTATCAGTGGCGTTCTTGTTGACTAAAAATATTTCATGGCGCTTAATTATTTATTATAGTTAAATAAATAATTAAAATGTACAGGAAATGGTTAGTGACAAAAATCATAAATATAATGCATTAAATAGCTGCAACAAAACATGATAATTAATCATTTTAAAGAACATTTTTTACTGTCTGTAATTTTTACTTTCACTTTCCTTTGCCTGAAAATAACTATTTATACTAAAAAAGGGTGGTAAGTGAAAGTTGTGTGATGCAAGCAACACTGTACTGTTCCAAGGCAAAATTATATGTTTTTCTGAGACTCACCAAGAATAATGAAAGCTTGGCCTGAAAATTGAAATTACATTTGGCTTTATCTTTAAGAACAAAATTTATAAAGAGGTATTTTTTGCAAAACAGATTATATTTTTCTTTTATTTGCCACTTATTACTTCCTTACATTATAATTTCTTATTTATGATTATTAAATGAGTTTAAAACAATTAAGTCATAATTAACAGTATTAATTTATAAAAATCACCAATGAGGTGTTCCAAGGATACAACTAGCACTCCCAAGTAATTTTTTTTATTGGTATAGGGTATGTTAAGTTGAAATTAAAGGAAAATAAATAGAAAAAAATATTGATGAAAGACTCACATCATTTCCTTTATTACTGTTTTATCTGCACCAGTAAATTTGATAAAAGTCAACATTATTTCATTAAGCAAAATCAGTAATTGAGAAACAAACATTTCTTTGAAAGTAAATCAAAAATATAATAGGGTGAAAAGCAAAATATGTTGTAAAACATACATAATAAAATATCAAAACTATTAGAAACAAGTAAACAGTAGAAAATGAATATCTAATGAAGTTGATAGCAACTAATAATGTGGAATGACTACAAACCATAATTATTTAAATCACCTATAATTTTTCTTTCAACAATTTATAAATATATATTCTAGATATGAACAATAATAAATCATTTATATTCCAAATATAAATGTACATTACATATAATGTAATATGTAGATGTATATATACATTCTTTATTAATTCAGAGTTCTAATTATTCTAAGATTAAAAATGAAATATAATTAAAATCTACTCACGGAGATTCATTTGTATAAGTAAAAATAAATATAAGAAGAAAAATGATATTAGAATGAATAATCAGAACTCTGTTAAATAACATGAAGTAATCATCGGGGACACTTATAATTTGTGATTTGTCCTCATAAAGGAGTGGGTGAGACCACGATTTGAAAGGTTACAATTATTGGTTAAAAGTACTGTTATTGGTTGGCCAAAAATCAAATTGGTATTTTTCTCCAGAATAATAAAGCATTTTTAGAACTTCTAAATTCTCAAAAATATATATAACTTATAATAAATTATTTAAGAGCCCAGGGTATTGTAATTTAATTTATTATTTGGTATTTATAAATACAAACATTATATAAAAAGGAATCTAATAACTGTAAGGCTGGACGTATGCACAGTCACTTAAAGATTAATTAATGTATTACGTAGAAGTAAGTTATAAGTATCCCCACATCAAGTTGAAATGTTTAACTGAGCTATTCATTCTCTCTTTAATTCAGCCTTAATATTCTATCCTTTTGTTTTTAAAGATTTCCTATAGATTCTATGGGTCTTGCCATACATAAACAAATTCAAAATAAGAAATAAACAATTTTTATTTATATACATTATAATATAAATATATACATAAATACTTTATACTCCCTGTTCTCTGAAACTCTACAGGCCTAAATAACATATTGGATTAAATAGCTGAACCTCGCATCAACTAATTAATTTCAATTAAAAATAACCTCAACATATATAAACAGGAAAAGATACAATTCAAAACCATTTTTCTTTAATTGCGAATAAAATTAAATAATAATAACAAAAAAAAAAAATATATCAATTTAAGAATGAATACATAATTCAACCAGGAAAATACAAAAATTACTTATTATTTCCTTTACTTAGATCTTTCAAAATATACGTTAAAACCAACATACCAAAAACAGAACTAACAAATATTAAGATACATTGCATTTAATAACAAATTAAGGCCATGAATAAAATAATAATTTTACAATTACTTCATTTTCCAAACTAATTATTAGTTTATTTTATTAGATCACAATCAAACATCTTATAAATATTTTTGAAGAAATAAAATATAGAACTTTGTTCAATGTCAACATTTTTGTTTCAACAACTATAATTGTTTGATTCAATCAAACAATTAATAATTTCGATTTCATCTTTCAATTAATAATTAAATTTTAATGCCAATAAATTAAAATTACAAGGGACACTCTCTTATATTTTAAGGTGAATCTCTTAAATGAATACGAGAGCTGTTAAATGGAAATATTATTAGTATTATTATACCATTAAAATGTCTTAAATTATGAACAGAACTAATCTCGTCATCCTAGAACCAAAGTTGCATGAAATACATTCACTTAAATATAAAACAATACCATTTGGCATCAATAAATGCAATAATCATTAGGCTGTAGTAAATTGAAGAAGTAAAACTTTAAATAAATAAACTTAAATAAGCTAGATAAATGATCAAAAATATTTTAGATAAACGAGATTACCCCAGTCTTGTTTGATTTACTGTTTTCAATTCAAAGAACAACCACAAAAATGTGGGAATGAATTAAAGTTCCAAAGAAAAATAATGAGCATTTTATATCTTTAGGCACCATCATTTAGAGTGTCTTCATTTTGTTGTGACTCATTGACAGTTTCTTTCAATGGAGGATCTTCTTTGTTCATATTCTGAGATGGTGCTTCATTTATATTTTTCTGATTATCTTCCACTTCATCATCATTGTCCCTTTGGAAGTCTTCAAAAGCAGATTGGTTATCAGGAGCCGGTCTTGGTGGCTCTGTACCGCGTGGACCACCTTCACCAGAGACCAGATGATTAGGCACGTGTGGCGAGCTATGGCCTTTGAGAGCTTTGTCACCTTTTCTCCATAGTGTTATCTCCTATAAATTGATTTTATAATATAAATGACATAAGAATTTACCAATAATGTGACAGAAATCCTAAACTGAATATGACAGAAATTATAAATTGAAAATATGTATAATTTAAAAATGTTTTTTTTTAAACAAATATTAAAAAACACTGGTCTGGTCCATTTTTTTTTATTATAATTCATTATTCAATCTTACCCAATTAAGATTATGATTTCATATTAATAGAATTATGATGCATACAAATCTGAAATCATATATCACTCTTTTTTTTTATCAACAATCTTATGTTCTGAGATTATTGTAGAGATAAAAATTTAAAATTGTAAAAAAGCATTTAATTCTCAAAATAAAAAAAAAATTAAATGGAACATAAATAGTACCACCATATTTTATATAAATTTCAAAAGCTCAATCTGATCCATAGTAAAATTATTGAAACAAAGATGGGAAATTAAAGTTATAACACAATCAATGAAAAAAGTGAGCATTTTCAGTTTTTAAAATTTCTCAATGATGAGTTAAACAAAAACCACCCGATCTTACATAGTAACTTCTAAATACAAAAACTAATAAAACTGTATAGACCACTTATGATTGGTTTTGATTTACTTGAGTTATAGATTATTTCGAGTAATGTACTCATAATGATTTTACCATGTAATCTTCAGTTTGTCAGATTATTCTGCTCGGCCACACTACCCCTGGACAATGAGACCTCTTATAAAAATCCTTTTATTTATCAGGTTAACATAAATGAAAATCACAGCTCCAGAAAGATACTGAGGGTACAGCAGAACAGTTTCCAGATAAAAAAATTTGATTGTTTTCAATGTTTCAACACCACACACTTTATTGGACTATTAGGCACCATAGCTATTAGATTATTTTTGTAGATTCTACAAATCTTAATAAGGTTAAAGGGTAAATAAACTCAGATTGAATAAGTGATCAATATCAAACGCCATAAGCCTGTTGCACCAATAGATAATGCACTTATCCAATCATTTCTGCCATTGTTCAAAACTTTCTGTAAATTCAAATTTTTGGAATGTCCTTTAGCCTTTCCAAATGTTTTCATTTGACAATTAACTTCACTTGACTTTTCTTTTTTTTTTTTTTTTGGAAGTGAGAAACAGCTGCCTTGATTTCGGGTAGAAATTTGCTGTTTGTTTCAAGATTGTACCTACAGCATCCTGATTCCATCACCAGTAATCACCTTAAAAATAATATATGTTTTCTTCTAACTGATTTTGAAGATCACAACAGGCTTGAAGTTGACACTCCCTTTGGTTGTCAGTGAAAAGGGGAGAGTGAGATATTGGAACTTTTTTTATCTCTAAAGTTTATAAGACTCAATTCAATGAATAAATATTGTGTTTCCTCCTATACTTAAGGTTTCCATAATTTATTCTATTACAATTGCTGTGTATTGACTAAGGCCGGGTGTCAATGACTTCGGCCATTTTCAATTAATGCAGTTATTTGAGTGACTGCTGTGGAATCCAAACCACTTTACACTCTTAAAAATGTTTGACACAATTGAAATAATGTTTTTTAAGAAAAAAAACACAACACAAAAGCAAAACCAATGCTATTGAACAGGCAAATGGAGACAAACTGATATGAAATCCAGAAATCCACATTTTAATACTTTTATAGTTAATCCTAGAGAGAATCATGAGATTTCCTCGACAGGATTAATGCATCGTAATCCCCTTTGACCTGTCATATACCTTTTATTACTTCAGGCTCAAAAATATTTCTTTAATCTGCGGTTTAAATGTAAAATTCCCGTTTTTTTGGCCACAAGTGTATTTTAAAACAAAAATATGTTTAATTTTAACTAAGATGAGTTGATTAATTAACAAAAATACTTTACCTGTTGTTTAAAATATCTTCTATCTTCTTCATCCATTAAAACAAGATTAAGGAAATATTTAACTGAAAATTTTTTGTTGATATCTTTCATGGTAGGGGTCAGTTCATAGCAAGATAGAAACACCCGAATTGGAATACTTTCTCCTCTAACTGGAGCACCATCCATTATTTCATACTTCACAATAGTATCATTTTCAACAAAAGTATTGGGACCTAAAAAAAACAAATAAATAAATAAAAATGATAATGACAGAGATTAATTTTGGAATATATTTAAAAATTAAGTATAGATTTTAAGAAGATTAAAAATATAATCCAATAATTATTTGTAATATCGTTACCTTCAGGAGTCCAAGGTACTTATCATCATGTACAGAGGAACCACATCTATTTTTTTCTTTCACATATCACTTATAATATAAAATAAGGAAAAGTATTGTGACCATAAAAAAATTCGAATCCGAGTTTTCAATGGAAATATATGTTTTTAGGTCTGAGTCCAAACCAACAAGTGTTACAAAATAGTCTGTCTGTAAGTATATGAACAGCCTAGCTTAAAAATGAAAAGTCTTACGAAACTGAAATTACTTATATTTTTCTTCTTAATTTTCTGGGAAGTCTAAATAGATATTTTCTTTGTAGGTAGCAAAAATAAGATAAATATATCATCCGTATATGTATTAGTTAATGTTTCAGAGCTGGATTCCCATTTTCATAATTTGCTATTAAAAAAGACATTAATATTCTGAATATATATATGTTATTAACATTTAATCATCCAAATAATTTTAAATCAACTTTTAATAACTTCACAATACTTTTCATTGTAATATTGTTAGATAAATGGTCAAGCGATCTCGACAGGAAAGAAATATACAATTAACCGTAGAAATATGGAATAGAAGTCGATGTTATTGGAAGGATGTTTGAAGCGATGAGGGACACCTTTGTCAACCTGTAGAGAGATAGTGCAAGAATGGGACTCGTTATAAACGAGTCAAAAACTAAGTACTGGCATGTGAATCCTGTGGGTAGAGCTCACAGAGATGACCATGTGCACATTGGGCAGCACGTCTTCGAGAGTTGATAAATTTATATATCTCGGAATCCAGATGAACTCCACAAATGACATCACCCCTGAAATCCACCATCGAATAATGGCAACAAACATATGCTACTATGAACTCCAGAAACACCTCAAGTGCAAGGATGTATCTAGGACCACCAAGATGCGGCTGTACAAAACGCTCATTAGACGCGTACTGACCTATGGATCGAAATGTTGGACCCTTCTCAGAACTCAGGAACTAACTCTGGCAAGATTTGAACAACGAATAATCTGCAGAATCTACAGAGCTGTTGCTGTTGATGGAGGCTGGAGGCAATGTACCAAAGCCGAGCTTTTAAGTCTCTGGAGTGATACTGACATTATTAAAATAGGTCGGCTGGACACTTAGTAAGAATGGCCGAGGAACGAATTCTGAGGAAGGTTCTGGAGTAACAGCTGTGGGGATGGAGATGATGAGAAGGCAGACCCAGGCTGCGTTGGGCTGACGGTGTGGCGGAAAATTCTCAGTCCATACTGGGCATCCATAACTGGAGAGCAGCGATACAACCAAGAGATGGCTGGCAGTCAATGTTGTGGGCGCCTCGCTCCCTCGCGGAGTGTAGTGTAGTAAAGTAAATAAATAACATAGAATGTAAGTAGCCAGAACTTTTACTGGCTTCATTAATTAGTAAGATTCTATTTTGGGATATAAGATAACTGATGAAAATATATGCCCTTTAAGATTGAAAGGAAAGTTCATAAATATCTCTGTTGTAGGCAACAGGTGATTTTATGTAGTATTTCATACTAACGTATAGTTATAAATTAAATTAAAATAGATATAACATCTCACTCTTTCTCTATCTTGAGACAGTATAAAAGGTTCATCTGGCCAAATGTGATTGGGAGAAAGCGAATTCTAACTAGTCATTACTGTAGCACTGAACTTATGTATCATCCATATTTGGGATATTAGCAGGGCAGCACACACCTCGATTTAGTTGTAACGCTGTTGTGAAAGGAAATAGAAGAAAAGATACAAATTGATGAAAATTCCAGTGAGGTGCGACGTAGTTTCTCTGCTTCTCCAGGCCTAGGGCTATATCCATCCAAGGCTTTGTAGATGTTTGAGTTCTGGAGGTTCACTCTGCATGGACACTTGGCGTATAAGAACTGGGATTTGGTATTACTCCTCCTAATTTACTTGCAGCATGTAGTGCTACTGTGACCACCACAGATAATGCTGTATCACCCTAGGAATGTACATTCACAAAGGTACCTAAAGTATGGTTTAATTAAGGAACTATAAATTTTAATAACTGTCGCATGTTAAATTGCTTTATTGAACAAAAATGTATTAATTGGTATTCAGCATATTCCTTTTTTTTAATGTATCTATCTCCGTGGCATCACAACCCTGAGTGGGTCTTGGCCTCCTCAATAAGCCTCTGCCATTCGGTTGTCCTGTGATGCTGCCTTCCAGTTGATGATCCCTAGGAAGCTTATTGCATCGGCTGACACTCCGTTGACCGTGGTCTACCAGCTCTTTGGGTCCTATGAAGAATCTCTTAAGATACCTTCCTCAGGATTTCTTCTTAACTCATCCTAGCCAAGTGACTAGCCCAACTGAGTCTCCCAAGCTAAATGAATCTGACCGCTTCTGCATGGATGCAGATTTGGTACAGCTCTTGGTTCTTTCTAATCCTCCATCTCTAGGCAACTCCCAATGGACCAACAAGACAAGCGTATAAAGGTTAGAGGTAGTTCCTATGAAACTAAAACTTCCATTGAAAGGCGATGCCTATAAGGATCAGTACTTGATCCACCCTGTAGAAGCTAGTTTTTGTTGAGTTGCTGGGAGTGTTAGAGGAAGAACTCACAGCCACAAGGCACACCCTATCAATATAATAATAATGCTTCCAAGTTCTGAATCTGGCACCAAAAGAAGAGCATGTCAGTGATAATCCAACAAACGGCCCTGCTGCCAGTCATAGTCCAAGTATTACAGAAGTTGGGCCCCTCAAACTTGTCCAGCAAGAAGAAATGTTGAAGTATATATTCAAAAAAGATGGCTAAGCAGGTCTACCATGAACTTTTAAAGTGATAATTGACTGAAATCCGAGAAAATAGTAACCTTTTATATTGGGAGGATACAATAGAAGAGTGGAATCAACAGAGAGTGCAATCAATTATGAGTTCAGAATTAATCATTGATAAGGTGTGACAGACCACTGATAGTTACAGACTTATATGATAGTTACAAAATGTCACAAAAACATGTATAACTCTAGTTCAAATTCAACTTCAAAAGTTGGTGAAAACAATTCTTGGTTAACTAACAAACTTATTGGCACTGTCTACCTATTTAATTCCTTCCCTGCCTTTTAGGTAATATGAGCACTCCTCTAGGTAGGGGGCAAGCCGAAAGGAGCCATCTTGAGAAAGCCCCATGGTCTAATCATGTTTGGAAGCCAAGTGGGTATTCCTGGGTCAGTGCATAGTTCCTCACAGGGCATAGAGGCTTTTGAGTCTATCTTCACAGCTCTGGAATTCTGAAGACTGCTGAGCACATCATTATGAACTGAACTGCCTTTAAGTCACTAAGGGCTAAATTTTTTAGAGGAACTAGTTGCTTTGTCTTCTCAGCTATTCACATGAGGAAAGAATTTGTTAAAAAGAGTTTGTTTATAGGGGGAAGGTAGCAGAAGGGCAGGCCCAATTTAACCTCACAAAACGAAGACCAACTTCTGGAAGGCCACCAGAATGAGGAGGGATAGAAGAAAACACGAATAATCAAATATTTATGCTGAGTGCAAACTGATTGAAAACATGTAAATCGGTTTTCTTGCAGGAGTGCTGTTTATTGCCATATTGCCTAAAACGCAGGAAAGAGATTAAATAGTGCTATTAAGTTAGTTAGTTACCCAAAAATCGTTTTCACTAACTTTTGAAATTGAATTTGAACAGAGTAATAAATGTTTTTGTGACAGTTAATAACTATCATATATAAGCACCTCGATAGTGGTCTGACAGACCTTATCAATGATTATTTCTGAACTCAGAATTGATTCTCCTCACCTTTTTTATGTAATTAAATACCTTGTGGACAAACAAAAACTATTTACAAGAGTTCAGAAATAAATGTTACTCATGAATGTCATTAATGATTAGAATAATGTTTTTCTATCTAACCACTATTACAGTTGATAAAGGTGATAAAATGTGAAAATTCATTGTCAAGGAGCTTACTTATGGTAGTTTATGTGATAGTAGCTGTTACAGACAAAACAATTATTTATCTATCATAGAATTTGGGTAAGATTCTTAGGAAGATTTATGGGCCCGTATGCGAAGGTGTTTGGAGGTCACGATACAATCGGGAGTTGCGACAACTCTACAGGGACGCAGATCCCATAAGTGTCATTAAGGCAGGACGAATAAGATGGTTAGGGCATGTGGAAAGGATTTGAGACAGCTTGGTGTCAGGCGGTGGAGGGCTATCGCATTGGACCAAGACGAGTGGCGACGTATTGATGAGAAGGGCAAGGTCCCACGCGGACTATAGCGCCGAGGAGTAAGTAAGTAAGAATTTGGGTAATGACAAACTATATAATGTAGTAATGTTAGGGAAGGATACTGATTTTTCATTCTGATGAAACAATTTCAGTTATATTTGATGAAATAATAATAACTAGGAAATCAATTCAGTCTCAGATACTGAGTTTGTGCCAAATGTTCTTATTATAAATAAGCATAAAATGTATAAATTCCATGATTTGTCAATCAGTCCTTTTTTGAGATATTCAAACCCTTATTAAAAAAGAATAAGGTTTCCAACACTGAAATTTCTGTTACAAGTTGTAAAGTCATGGGACTATAAGACAAAGAAAGTTTAGTATCTTTTCATAATTACACTCAACAATTTTAGAAGTTGAATATCACAAAAACAGAATGACAAAGGAAGGTCACAGACATGGATCACCAATTTCAATCGAAATATTTTTGGTCATTCATAATAAAAAAGTTATTGTGTGTGCTTCATATCACACAAAAAAAGTGAAAAAATCGACAGGACGAGATTAATAATATGAAATATAATTCTTTTTTGTTCTACATTCAAGTAATGTACAAGTAAATAACTCTTATAATAGTGAATAAATTAATCTAGTAAACTCTGAGTGATCGTCATTTGTATCATACTCTAAAAATGATAAAATAAGTTTATAACTAAAATATGCAATGAATACTATAGTCGAAATTTATTTGCTACATATCTAACAAAAACTGTATCCTTTTTTAAATATAACTTCTGTGACAAGGAGTCAGTAATTTGTCAAAACTCTATCGAGTGCAACAGAAAATATACACATAATTTCTTATTTTTATGGCTAATTAGAAAAAAATATCTATATTGACTCCTGCAAATTGGTTTCTGAATTCTCCATGGCATCTAAATTTTTTGTTATTTTTTTTTCACACAGCATCAAGATAAAGTTTTGAATAATAGCTCATTACAAAGAGGATGAAATGCTGAACATTCCCCTCACTCACATTATGCAGGTCCAATTTTTAGTTCCCGATATATTTTAATTCAAATGCAAAAACCCTTCAATTAGTCGCCTCGAGCCGACTTAACCAGTGATGAGCTTTACATATCCAAGCATGATGGCTCAGTATCATTCACCACCCATAAAAAACCAGTGCAAAGCGCGCCTAAAGAAGTTTTCACGTCAAAAATATTGGACAGGTGTCCCAGTCCTAGTTCGTTCTATTGGCCCTCAGGAGCCCAGAAAAAAATTATTTCAAACTATTTGTCCTCAGAAGGTTCTTGGTCGTAAAATCATGGTTTAATATAAATACAATATCTTTGTTTAACAAAACAAAACAGCAAAAAAATTTCTGAAAGTTGGATTGAAGTTTTTGTGGTGAATTAGGCTCATTTTAGAATTTAGATTTAAATTAAAAAATTTTCTCTGCCTGTTGATACAAATACTGAGCAAGGACTCAGGAAACTGTTTTGAGCAGGAGCAGTCGTGTTTTTTGCTGAGTGTACAAATACAACTGTACTTCTCGGAAAAAATGCAAGATTTTGAGTCACCAAGCTTGGAGAGTGGATCTAATGGAGACAATTTTGAGAACAATATTGTAACAAATCAGAATAAAGAACAGAAAAATTCAAGGCAACCAACATACACTGAGATGATGGTAAACCATCCAATAAGTACACCATAGTATTACCTACAATAAGAAGAATTGAGCAAAGACAACATGTTGAAGGTTTATCCAAATTAGTTAACCCATTAAATATTAAACATGCTTCACGTACATCCAATAATCATTTTTGTGTTCACTTGAGCAGTAAACAACTTGTTGGCCCGTTACTCTTTAAACAGATAACATTACTCATTGGGCAACACTCAATTCCAATAAGGTGATTAGTAAACCCTTCTAATCAAATTATTACATCAAATGGTTGCTCTAGTATATCACACGTGGTTTTAGAAAATGAATTTAAAAAACTAGGTATTAAATTATCACGTTTTTAAGAGGAAGCTATATAGGACCTAAAACTAGCCACATTTTACGTTTTTGAAGACATTTATTTGTTGGCCTTGAAGATCTAGAGGAAATACTGAAATTAATAGAAGCATCCAATGAAAGTGTACAATCTTCCGCATCTTCTTTTCCGGAGATATTTTAATCTGCTATTTGTCCCGAAAATCTAGACACTTTGACGCAGATTGATCGCTTCTAGGAGATCTCTTTACTAAGAAAAATCAAACTTCAGGCAATACCGAAGAAAACAAAAAAACTTTCCAGATAATGACTAACAGTGAAAATAATAATTTGCAAACAGACACCATAGAAATAAAAAATACCAATTCACTTCAACAATCTGATGAAAAGTTTTTGCACTCAGAAATGGATCTTCCTCCATAGATTGCACAGAACATCCGCCAAAGAACATACAACTAGTGATGGTCAGAGTCCCTAGCCGACGGAAAATGCTTTTAAGTTAAGCAATCAAGGCAATTCCTCCACTGAGAAGCAGAATACTTAATTGAAAATGAAAATTAATAAAGGTAAACCAGGACTTGGCCTGTGCGTATTTGCTGGTAATAGTCTGTGGGCCAGACCCCCTTACCGTGCACCCTCCCCACATCCCTATAAATTGCATATCGTTGTGTTCCTTGTAACTATTTATTAAAAAAAAGCCAATGTTCCCACAAAAAAAAGTGAACGCACTGCCCCAAAATGGAGTCCAAAGATGGCGGATTGACGACTTTGACTTTAGTTAGTTTTTTGGTCACTGCAAATCAGCATTTGACTTAATTTCCTCATAGTTGGTCTTTTATTAAAGCTGAATAGTCATAGAATAATAAACCATGAGGAAATATTAAAAAATAATTGGCTTAGCTATGAAAAACACTACTAAAGTCAATTTTTTAACAAAAAAGTTTTCAAGTTAAAAATCAAGCGTCATTTGTAATTAAACAGCCTACAATAACGCAAAACGTGCTGAAATAAACCATCTGGAGAATATATTTTTCTTTCCAAAACGCTGATTATTTTTTAAAAACTTTTAAACAGTTCCGTAGAAAATGCACTTATGCGGCAGAAAAGCGGTACTGGCGTGGGTGCCTACAGGCCTCTACCACACCATTCAGTACACATAAATGGCTTAGTTAAAGTGATATAATAATATTTTTGGTACATTATATTGGTTTTATTAACGAACAAATATTAATGCAATAATTTAATTGTAAAAAAAAAATTAAAATTTTTTAAAAAAATTTATTATTTTTTTTTTTATTTAACTTTCTTTATTCTACACGTAGGTCGTTTAAGAAGACCTTGATTTTAAAAATGATATAATTATAATAATAAAACTTAATTAAAAAACTTTGCTAAATATCTTGATTTTTTTTTTATTTAACGTTTGCAATTTAACATTGTGTTTTGCATATTTACTGATTCTTAAAGGTAATTAAAATTTATATATACTTCCCAGGAAACGAGTCGTATTAATACCTGTTTTATAAACTAAAATAATATATACCTAATCTGAACTATATATAATGAATAGCTGCTGGGTTGTATAGTAAAACTCATATTATCACTAATTAAAAAATTAATTTTTATTTCCTTTATTTTGTGCGGAAGTTGGACTATATCATAAATAAATAGGAAATTTTATTATTGAATGAATTATTCTCTCTGCACAAAGAAAGATAGAAACGGTGACGCTATAAGTTCTTCTATAAGCCAGAACTGATTGTTTGGATTTAGTCTTGAAATGAGGAAAAAGGCGAAATTGAACCCGAAAACTGGAAAAATACATTAAGCGAACGAGAAAGGAAGTGCCAAAACCTCGGAAAAGATAAAAAGTATACATATATAATTTTCATGAATAAGGGTATAGCATAAAATTAAGAATTAACATGAAAGTGAAAACTAAAATAAATGAGTGATTACTTTTATACAATCAGTTGATAAATAAATAATTTATTTATATTTATAATGAATTATTTAAATAATTAAAATACATTGTGCTGTAATCAGTACTGTACAGGTAAGGTGGAGGGGAGTGGGACAGGTTGTCACTGATATGGACAAAAACCCGATGATACACCACTGCCCTACTAGTACCGTCACATACCTAGAAGGCATCTTCAGTCTATTATATTTTCTGCGCACTAACACAATAATATTTCTTTTAATTCCAATTTTACATTGAATAACTCTCCACCCCATTAGATATACTATTTCAGTTTTTATAATTTCTAAACTTTCTCTCATTTAATTTATTATTAGTTGCTCTCTAGCTAGCATTATTTAAATCCTAACCACTTAATTTATCTTTAATTTATTTTTGTTATTTATATTTTTTAATTCGTAATTTACTTTCTACTGTACACAAACATATCTATATCGCATGTATTTCTGATTTGATATGAGCCCTGATGAAGACTCACAAGCTTGGGTTGTAATACATAAAACAAAAAATGCAATTTTGCAATACATGCAACATTGGCGTGCATAATAACAAAATTGAGACTGATTTCCTAACTATTTGTATTATTTAAAATTCTCAAAGTATTTGAGTTGCATTGGAAACACTTCAGTAGTTAAAATGAAGCATAGAGTAAGGGGACACATCAACATTATGAAAAAATAAAGGAGAACACTAAACTAAATTTATGGTACTCTATTTTTACTCTCTACTCTATATTACTCTATATAATCTATTTTTTTTGTTTCAATACTTAATGAATTGAAAATAATTAAAAAAATAATCTATCACTAAGTAACAAAAGCTCACCAGAACCTGTGGTTTCACGTTTGATAATGGCTATCTCCATATGTTTTAACTTGATACGGACAAGAAGAAAGTAAATTTTTCCAACAATAACATCTTTTAAATGGTATCTAAAAATATACAATTAATAAAGTGATTAAGGTAAGAAATCCTTAATTTGCAATTTAATACTAATTATTATTGTTAAAATTTAGTAACTCACTTGCTTTTGTTGTATTCAAATTCTATATGAAGGCAATCTTCAATACCAACTTCCATTTTTATACTATTGTTCAGTTCAGGATAAGATGATAAAGTATGAACTACAATATCTTTTTCTTTAATAATATCTGATAGCCTTTTAACTATAGTTACTCGCAGTAAATATCTGAAAAAAGTGTGGAGTAAAAATATAGTATGTTTCTTTCAGAAAATATAAAATCATTAGCAACCACATTAACATTTATCGAAACTGATACTTTTTATGAAATAAATATGTAACATAAATTATCTTGCAATTAATGAACAGTTAACTAGTGCAAGGAGATATATAATAAATATATTTGATATATGATAGGGTTTGTGTTATTTTGAGGCACTTACTATATTTTTGCACCGATAAATAAGGTCTAAGATAACAAATATATTCTTAAAAATTTAGCCCATTTAAAAATCTATAAACTAACTCTTTGCAATAAACCGATGATATGTATGTTACACATATAATTTAAGAACACAAAAGGCACTTAAATGATATGTCTAAAACATATGTATATCATTTAAATACATGATAAACACCACTATTATTCTATTACATCCCATCCTTTCACCAGTTTGAAAGAAATCTAGCGAAACTTAAAAAGTTGTATTTTTAAAAATAATGTTTGAAAATTTTATGAAATTTCAATTATAACAACAGTTTTATTACAATTATATTAATAATTTATAGAACCCATTTGCATTTAAATGTCGGTAGGTAACATATCTAAAGATTTTTTTCCAAACATAGTTTTAGGTCTAATTTTTTTACTTTCACTTACCTATATATGCATTATATAGTAAGTGAAAGTATTGCAATCGTGAAAATTTCCGAATCTGAGTTTTCAATGGAAATACACGTTTTGAGGTACCCTGAGTCCAAATAAATAAGATCCGCAAAATGGTCTGTGTGTGAGTATGTTAGCAGTGTGGCTCAAAAACGAAACTGATATCACGTATTTAAGATAGATATGTGCCTATATATGCCTAAGGAAAAAGTTGCTTTCACATCTAAGACACATGTTAAAATTGGCTAACGGGAAGTGGCACTTTATATCAACGCTGAAACACATTTTTACAATTTTCTCAAAAGATTTTCATTTAACTCGGTGTATCATTGTATAATTAAGTGGTCTTTAATATCATTTAGGTCTTATCCTCGTTGATGTCACTTTACAGGGCTTAAATGCCAAATGTTTATATGCATCTTCCTCTAAAGTACCTTTAATGTGGTTTATTTTAAATAATTAACTATCTCTCATTATTAACAGTTACGAAAAAATGCTAAATATAACCATTGAAATAATTTGATGATTGAATAAAGGAAAAAAAAAAAAAAATCCTTATCCAGGTCGAAAATGAATCACTGGAAATACTAGTCGGAAGGTATACATATAATATATCATTAGAAAGCGGAGAATTTTAGAATAAAACAATATCTAATATAGAAAGTTATAGAAGATAACAGAGAGTAACGAAAAAAGAATTATAAATAATAATTTTTGAAAATTAATAATATTTAACATAAACCACATGTTTTTAAGGAAATTAAATGAAATTTACTAACTAAATGTAAACTTTAAAAATATTTTTAAGTTTGAAAAAAGTATTTAAAATCAACCCATTCAAGGCAATGACATAGTTAAAAAAACTATTTCATTGTACTTATGTGTGAAAGAAGAAATAAAATATAAAATCATTTCATGGATGTACAAAGCATATGTTTATAACCTTAAATACATTTACATACATTTAAATACATATTTTTAAATAATTAGGCATCTATCATCCGTTTATGCCGAAAAATCATCATGTAATCTTTTAGAAAATTAAATTAGAGAATAATTTGATTAATTTTTCCTTTGTGATATTCCAACAGTATCCACTTACAATTATCGTGACAACTTATTACCTGTCTATGACAGACAATGCAACTCTTAATTCCGTTTTAGTAAACTTTGCAATGGAAAATAACGGTTTAATAACTAATAGTCATACAATCCATAATCAACTGGTGATGTAATAGCTCAGTTAAAAATGCAATTAAAAAATTCTATAATAGCACATCGCCCGAAAATAATTTCTATTCAATGTTGAGCGATAAGTGAAAGTTGTGTGTTGCGCGCACAAAATTTTTTTATCTTAAATTTAAAACACATTTGAACCCAACGTTTAAAAATTAAGTTTTTAGGTAAAAACTTCATCAGACTATTTAGAATATGTTTTCAAAATTACTAACCGGAAAGAGAGGAGTTCCGTCCCCTCTCCGATATTGGGGCAATGGAAATGAAAGGGTTAAATTATTAATTATTAGAAAAGTTATTACTTTTTTTCAATGATAACTAAAATGGTTGAAACTAAAAATTCCAGAATGAATAAGTTCAAAGCAATCTGATACCTTACATTATATTTTTTAAACTTTAGTTTGACTTTTTGTTTACAAAGACTCTATTTAATTTTAATCAAGTCGCAAATAATCAAATAGTCCTCACCTTCAAGTCATACATAATTTGAAACCATTTTTGAAATCTTTATGTGAAATGCCAACCTAAAATGCTTGGTTTTGCATCAAATAAATGACCTCAAATTTTCTTGAAACAGAAACTGGATCGAGGGTTTCCCTTTGTAAGCCTCTGAATGTCAAAATAACTGTCATGTACTTTTCACAGTCATATTTTAATACAAACAATGAGCAGTACATAGCATGTTTAGACTGAATGAAGTCCCCATTTTTGAAACGTTCACTCTGCTCATGGATATCAAGTTTTTCATGTTGAAAGTTCTACTGTGTACAATGGCTCTTTCCCGTTTTAGTATAAAGTTTCTACAGTGCTACATTATGTATTGCTTCACTCTAAAGTATGGATACAAGATCTCATGGTTATAATATAGATAGAATTCCGGAAATAGCGAAGTATTGACAATTTGATCACAGATATAACCTACCTTTAACAAATCATGATCTTCGACTTCCACAAAATTCAAACTGGTCCTTTTCGGTTAAAATTGAGGGCATTATTGTATCAGTGACTTCTATTCCTACATGCTCAAAATGGAAAAAGAAATTACCACTTTGTCTTTTACAGTTAAGGTTTGGACCTTGCTATAAGGTTCTGTTATCTCCGTCTACTTTCAGACACATTTGCCCATTGTTGGAGTGATCATGAAATCTTGTGCCCACCCATCAAAGTAGAGCAATATTTGTCAAGTAATTCTGTTTCTAAGAAACAAAATCATTTGATTATGGTTTGAGCAATGACATAACAGGAGGACCTGAAAGTAATGTCGTTTCTGGGCATGTATTTAATGGTAATTTTTCAGCACATTGTGTAGATCTAAGTTGTGGCAATGACATTTTGAGGTTATAGTGACGTGTTCAGATGTAAATAATTAAATTAATTTTTTTTCTTCCAATTTTGGGTGAAATGGCCAATCAAATATCAAATCAGAAGAGGTACATATCCGGTATTGCATGCTTTTTTTAATTTCACAAGGATAGTAGAGCAATAGTTGCTATCAGAAAAACATTTGCAATTTTTATCCAAATGCATTGGACGTTTGTAAATGCCAAAGGTGATTTTCCTAGTTCAAATCTGGTAATTTTGATATTTTTAACTCATATCGATCAGGAATGCCAACAAAGTTAGACAAAGGCATGTTAAGAGTGGAAGTGGAAGCAGATCTGTGTCAGACAATTGAAAAATTGTTTGTTTGTTTATTTGGGCTTTGAGACGTGAAACCCTAGTGTCATCAACGCCTGGGAAAAATTGTTAAACATTCTCAACCAACCTTGTTCAACCACCCAAGAACATTTGCAGTAGATTGGGAAAGTCACATGCAACTTATTGCTTAAATGGCACAATATAGAAGCGTTTTTAGATCACTTAATCACTGTAGATGAAAAACGGGTCCTCTATGATAATCCAAAACTAAAAAGGCAGTGGATCTCTCCAGAATTACTGCTAAGCCACCCCAAAAAGGCCCTTTTGTGTGTTTGGTGGAGCACTCGTGGTGTTGTTCATTTTTAAGTGCTGAAATCTGAACAAACTGTAAATGTAGTTCTTAACTGTGAACAATTGGATTGTAAAAATCATTGATAAGTGGCCAGCAATTGTCAATAGAAAAGGCTTTATTCTGCAACACAATAATGCAAGACAAACCCTGGAAACAATTAATCAAGTGGAGTGGGAGATACAGCCTCACCCACTATACTTGTCCGATATAGCATCAACGGATTTCCACTTTTTCCGTTTGCTTCAACACTTTTTAAGCAGCAAAATATTTGCAAATTTAGATGATATTCAAAATACCATCTCTCCACATTTTTTTCAAAAACCATTTGCTTTTTATTGACATGGTATTGAAAATTGCACACTAGATGGCAAAAGGTTGTTGATAATGAGAGTGATGACATCATTGATTAAAATCAAAATTCGTTAAACATTCATGTGTGAATTTAATGTATGAAAATCATAATTACTTTCTGGTCTCCCTAAAATAATAATTTTAATTTTACTTTTAATAAAATAAATAAAACTTTTAACAGTTTACAAAGCCATTACAATTTTTCTACTTTATTTTAAAAGCATGAAAAAAGAGAAGTGTAAAAAGAATTATAAAATATTAATTTTACAGAACCGATTAATGAATCAGCTATAGATGTCATAACATTAATGATATATCATTGTTCAATTCTACATTAACATTTAAAATAAATTACCTTAAACGAACATTGACACCGGTGAATGATTCAAATGGTTTTTCAACATTAAGAAATTCAAAATTGAATGTAGTGTTCTGTAATAATTCACCAGGCCTTGCAAGTTCTTTAACCAAGGATGTGAAATCATGATGATTTCCCCTATCATAGTATAATTCGATCTGTCCAATAAACTCAATTTTGATTCCCTGGTGTTCAAGTTTGCTACCAGGTTTCTTCAACCTAATATTAACCTAAAACAAATATAAAACATAGTTAATCAATGTAAATAATCTACAAATTAACACTTTCTAGTGTTATAGAAACAGAACGTACCTTTCCTGTGACACTTTCACCATCATAATAGAGTGGATGTCTTTCTTTCTTACCATCTTCAGCTTTTATTTCAGCCAGTGGTCTGTTTTCAAGCCCATCCAACACTATTTCGACATCAGCACTTTGTCCAAATCCAAAAAAACTCTGCAATTAAAAAGTAAATCTAAGTACTTATAATCATATCCAAAACTAAGAACATTAAAAAAAAAGTGATCATTAGTGATCAAGTTAATAGGACCAAGAAAACATGAAATAATGTATAACCTGTAGTGTGGTTTATATTATTAATACTTTATGACAAACCAAATCTAGATACAATGAATCTACTACAAAAGAAAAGTGACATTAAATATAAAAACAATACAAGAAACAACTGGAACACAAACTGATAAAACTTATCTTTCAGAAATACTAACCATCTTCTTCAGTCAAAACAGTAGTGTTTCTTCTACACAATATTCGCAATGTTCTCAGGTAGAGAAAAATACCGGTCTCATACTTTTGCCTCTGGTCCAATTCAATAACATTTGTCACATCCTCATATAAAAATTAATAGCCTAACAACTTCATTCAGGTTACGTCATGAACAGAAGCCTCCCATATAGGTTTACCTATCATTAACATCATCTTGGTGTGCTTTTCTAGCATATTCTGTTAAAATTAGCAATTGCATTTATTTATTCTAAAATGTTATTCTAGAGAAATGTATAATTCAAGATTTTATACATAAGACATATTAATTTTTAAAGTTAGTTCCCACAACAGTCGTTTCAGAGGCGGGAAAAATAAAAGTACATATAGACAGATAAATCAGTGAGGACATTTATTCCAGTAAAATTAAGTGGGGACTAAGTTTTTATTCACGATCAAATTAAGGAGTTATCAGTTTTAATAATAATGTTTTACGGAATAGTTGGATAATCATAGATATTAGTTTTCGATATCTGTTGATCTCCGGATCATTCTGATACATGAAGAACCGCTAGTTCTGATTTTTTTAATGTCGTATTTGACCTGAAGGATACATTTTGCGCTAATATTGGCTATAAATTTAAAAAAAAAGAAGTAAAATTGCATCCAAGTGACACTTTGTGCCAATGAAAATTTACAAAATAAATAAATATTGGTTTGTCAATGAAGAAGCTATTTATCGGTACAAATAGTTTCTATACGTTCTTAAATATGTTGTTCTTGGTCGATCCAATACTGGTTGCAATTAACTAATGTTTCGAAGTTAATGAAATTACAATTTTTTTGAAAAGGCTAGAAGAAAATAACAACATACAGGGTACTTTTCATAAAAAAAAAAACTTTTGGTAGCAGTTTTCGAACTTTTAAGCCATCCTTGATGCGTGGAGCCCGTTAGCCGCTGCACACCGATCCGAGAGGTTTATACGCCATCGGTCTTGGGGGGATGGGCACCCCTGCAAGGACCTTCACATTGACTGTGGACAATGACAAAGAAAGCTCGTCCAGTATCATTATACATATCCAACAACGCCTGCTAACTGCTGAAGGCTGAAGCCATGCATTGATCCCTTCTCTACAAAAAAGTGAACCACCCATTGATGACCAGTCTCCTAGAGTGGCGAAGCGAGGATGAAGGCAAGAGATGTCGGATGGCTCACAACATCGCAGGCAGGAAATTAGACTGCAATGTCTTCGACATACTGAGGAGGTATGATAGAGTTTGGCAATTCGAGGGCGCTTTAGGAGGCATCCCCTACACCTGAATCGGTGGCCGTGGGATGATAACTCTCTCTCTCTTCCTGACAACACATATCACGAAAACTGCACTAGGAACAATCGGTCGAAATTTTGTCCAACCGTCGGAACTTTGATATAATGCTAAAGGAATTCAAGATAATTTTATAAAGAGATTTCAAACTATCTGGAATATTTTACACCTTTACAAAGCGAGTGCTCGATAGCTTTCCAAGCAAATGGATCGTTACAATATAGGTATTTCTGATATCCAATATAGGTATACTATTGGAGATAAGTTAGACCGGTCAAGGCATTTTCAAAAATAATAGCACAATTTTCTGCAGCTCTTAAGACTGAAGTCAAATCGTCGGCATTGATTTTTTAGCAAAGGGGGGAGTTTCCCAGCATGATAGCCTTAGGTCCATCGCAATTAGAGGGTTTGCCTTCAGGATAGTCTACTGTCGGTGGGTCACCGATTTAGACCAATTTTTTTTTTTGTGATATTATATCGAAAAATATTAGACACTTGTCACGACGTTCGTTCAAATAGATCCTAGGAGCCCAGGAAAAAATATATTTTCAAACAAAATTTATGTTGTTTATTTTTGCCTTTGCTTTACTCCAGCTTTTAAGTTATAATATATCAATCGATTTCATTTTTTTTTTTACAGAATAAGAAAAAAATATTAACAATGGTGTTATATGGGTTAAAATGTATTATCAATTACAAAAACCAAAAGGCGCTTCCAGCAAAGTAGGCGAAGTAAATTTTTGTTATGAAAAAACAGGTTAGATTAATTTTTAGTGTCCTTTGAAACTATAAAAACGATTTTTTATGTAAATCAAAAATTGTAAAATTTAAAAGTTGATTTCCTTAGAGGATTTTTCCACCGATCTATAACTAAATCATTCATAACTTTAAGATTTTTTCCAAATACAATTGAAAAACCAAATACAACCGTTCAAATTATTAATTACTGCTCTTCCAACGAACATCTCTATCTTTTATATTTCATTCCCCTTTAAACTAGAAATTAAGATAGAATTGTCCATCATTTTTATTTTAAAGCTAAGGTTACACTTTGATTACGGAGGTCGGTTTTGTACCATTTCGTGTAGTACGTAGAGTCCTGAATTCCTGAGTTATTGATGTGGTTTATAAGAGCAATAATTTAGTTTTCCAACGGTTGTAATAAGGTTGACTTAGGAGAAAATCCTGAGTAGTTATGAGTATTTTAGTAAACGAAATGAAAGAAAATCCTCCCATAAAATTATAATAATAATAATAATAATAAAAGGCTTAGCGAACCCGAAGGTTCGATGCCGACACCACCAATCGCTTATTACACAACCCAGTCCCTTCAGATCAGCTTTTACGTAATCTTCCCACCTTCGCTTCGGTCTACCCCTCGGACGTTTACCAGTCAGTACAGCAAATATTAACCCTTTAGGAATTCTTTCGTTACTAAGCCCAACAATTTTATAAGACCATTTGATTTGCCGCAATGTTATCACCTCCATTATATTAACCGGTTACAGTTCGCGCAATTCGGCGTTGTGTAAGCGTCTGAACTCTCCGGTTAACTCATCCTTCTTCGGTCCGAATATTCTACGTGATACTTTATTTTCAAAAACTTTAAGACGTTGCTCAACCCTTAATATAAGCGGTCACGTTTCGCATCCATACTGTAGGTAAGATCCAAGAACTGTAGGTAAGATAATGGTTTTATTGATTCTATTTTTTAAGTTCCGAGACAAGAGGCTCGAGCTAACTAGTTTGATCACAGAAAAATAACAAACATTATCCACATTCAGACTAACCTTAATCTCCTCTTCAATTTCATTTTTTCTAGTTATCGTATATCCTAGATAACTAAACTTCTCTATATGTTCAAACATATTACCTTCTATATCGATATCACCGACAATATTGCCATTTTTGCAGCTAACCATATATTTTGTCTTATCCGTGTTTATTTCGAGCACTAGTTCTTTACCGACATTCATTAACTTTGTCGTATTTAGTTTTACAGTTTCCGTATCTTCGCTTAACAGAACCAGATCATCCGCATAGCCAAACACTGGTGTTGTCCCACCCAGATCCAACCCTCTTTCGGTACACATAACCTTCCTAATGACATGTTCTAAAGCCAAAGTGAACAGGACAGGCGAAAGGTTATACTCCAAGAATGTTTTATCTAATATTGGAAGTAAAAAAAAAAATGGTCAATAATCGAACGGTTCCTTCTAAATCCGCATTGGTAGTCACTGATAATGTCCTCGGCGTATTCCGTGATTCTACTAGTTAAGATTAAAGTGAATATTTTATAATAAACCGGAAGAAGGGAAATTCCTCGATAGTTATTACAATCCGTCCTCAGACCCTTTTTGTGAATCGGAATAAGAATAGATTCTCGCCATTCTTCAGGCAATTTCTTATTCTCCCAATCTTTTAACCAAAAAATGTATTTTAGAAACTCCAATAGGCTTCCTCGAATGCCTAAACTAGTAATAATAGTACGCTAGGAATATTATCGGTTCCTGCTGCTTTATAAGATTTTAATTTTTCGGTTTCTACTTCAACTTCCTCTTTACTCGATTCTCCTGTTAACGGTTCAGCACTTTGGTACTGAGAGGAAGAACACAGATTATTATTTCCCGTATTTAAAATATTGTCAAAATGGTTCTTAAACTGATTTAATACGTCTACAGAATCGGACAAAATGTTGTTTTTTTAATCCCTAATTCCAGACGTGACGGGCCCTAAGCATTTACGGGATCTGTTTATAACTTCGTATATATCTTACGATATTTTCGATTCTATTAGTTTCTATTTCTATTATTTTATCTTTAAGATACTCCTTTTTTTTATTTTTAGCAATTTTGTCGTTTCATTCTTTGAGGTTCGGAAGTATCCCAAATTGTCTTCGCTAGGATTATTTAGAGCTTTTAATTTAGCGGCTTTTCTTTTTCCACACATGTTTAAGCAATTTTCATCAAACCACGGTATGTTATTCTCTTTTTTCTTTTTTCCTAGTCAGGAGTTACCAACCGCTTTAATATTATCACTGATCTCTACCCATAACTTGTCAATATCCTCGCGGTCCTCCTCAGAAGGTTCTAAGCTTCAAACCTATTTTTAACATCTATATCGAATTGAGATCTAATTGACGGATTTTTTAATTTTTCCAAATTAAAGTTCTCGAAATCGAAACGGTTTTCTTTTCTCTTTTTCATATTAATTTTTTTTCGAAGTTTCGCGATTACTAATTCATGATCTGACCCACATTCTGCTCCGCGATACGACCGTACATTAATTATACTGCTTTGACAGCTATGTTGTATCAAGACATGATCGATTTGATTTCGTGTTTTTCGAATCGGGTGATGTCCAAGTGTATTTATGAATATCCTTATGTTTAAACGTAGTACATTTAATTATCTGGTTTTTCGAGATGGCAAAGTTTATCAGACGGATCTTATTGTCATTACTATATTCGTGCAAACTTTCTTTACTAATCGTCGGAACATAAACTTCTTCCCTTCCTACCTTTGCGTTCCCGTCACCTACAGTCATTTTCATGGAGTTTCGCGGTAGTTTATCATAAACCCATTCAAGTTTATCGTAAAATTCACATTTGACTTCATCGTCACTTTCTTCGGTTAGACAATATATGTTTATTAATGGGATTTTAAACCAACGTCCCTGAAATATAGCTACCGAAATTCTATCACTAAAGAATTGTACGTCCCTCAAAGTGGATAGCAATCTATTCATAATTAGAAACCCGGTACCTAAACAATGATTCCCGCTTCCTCCGTACCGAATCGGATACTTTCCTTCCCTCATCGATCCCTCCCCTGGCCAGCCAACCTCTTGCAGAGCCACATCATCCAAATTGTACCCATTAACCTCATTCGCGA